ATACAGAGGAACTATAGGAGGATCATTAAGAGCGGCGTACAAGGCTACCTACAGCACTACACCCCCCCTCCCTAACACCCACCAGCACACACCGACGATCCCCACGACCCTCACCACACTACCTACACATACACACATACAAACACACACACACACTACTCACCATGTGGTTGAACTAAAGGTACTTTACGATCAGACTATTATCACCGGACACCCCCTACAGCAAGACCCGGAGGGGGGGAGCTGGATCCGCCACTGATAATGCCCTACTATAATACTGTAACTCCCTCACAGTACACAATACGTACGACTACACTACGCCTTATCTCTTCACGTGCTCACCTAAACTAGTGACCACCACACCTAACTGACCCAGCAAAAATGGTGGAGGTTGAATTTTTTTCGTGTTCCGTTACAGCAGAGAAAAAAAAAGAGACATCATAAACCCCTCTGGGAATTGATGTAGTTAGTTAAGATATAGTCTGATATTACGCACGTGCAATAACAAAACGTAATTCACATCAACATAATTATGGCACTCTTTGCAAGCATTAAGTTGAAAAAATGTGAACTTGTATAATACTTTAACTGATTAAATGAACATAATTTATTGGGAAGTTAACCTTTATAGGGGTTGAAATAAATGTCAGCAGGTCATATCTGGTGAGGTAGCTGTCCTGGTCCTTGACACAACAGTGGCGGGAAAAAGCACTTCGCTACACCAGTTTCCTTGACACTGGCACATGATGCTACATAACATCACATTACCAGGAATTTAATCGTGATACACACCTCAGGAAGACAGTCACTATCATCCCTCCGCTCCTCACACTGGTCTGCATCACCCTAATAATATGCAGTATATTGCCTAACATTTATACCACAGCATACCAGGCTCCCGGGGCCACTATTTAACAATAATATAAAAATGTATCAAAGTATTTCTGACATCATATACCGTATCTGTAAGAGAGGAATAACAAACAAAAAGATTGATATATTACCACATTAGAAATAAGTATTACCAATACGTTGTTATCCTTGGTAGATGTTTATATTTCTTACCAAATAAATTCAAATAAAATAAAATCAATAACTTCAGTTCCTATGAAACTTTAAAAAATCGTTATTAATTACGCACTAACACCAAAGCACCATGCAGAAAACATTTCCTCGGTGATGAGCACTACAGTACTCTGCGCACTTAAAGAAGTGCTAACACTACAATAACGAGCGTATAACCCCCATCTGCTTGAGATTAACACGGCCACTTAAAACTCGTGGTATTGTATTACTCTACGGCATCAACCCGGCACACTTCCGTCAAACAACACTTGTGGTATGTTAGGTGCCCGTATGTTCATCTTAGCTGCACTCAGGTCGTTAACGAGTTGTTCACTTGAACAGTCTAAGCACTCCCCTCCTAAAGGTCACTGAAATTAAATTACTTTGTGAAATATGCTTATAAGTTATGAATATCTCCAATCACGCCTCTTATATATATATATATATATATATATATATATATATATATATATATATATATATATATATCGTCAACATTAAATAGACACAAGCTCTACCACGTCACGAAATCCAGTGATGGGAGCACACGAGAAATACGTCCGACTCGGCAGCAGTCGGGAAACACTCTACAGGTAGTGATACTAGTGAGGCACGGACCGGGCCCGTAGTAGGTGCCGAGGCACTTTTCCCAATCACTTTCCCACCAGCATCACTCGCTACACCGGTCTTTGAAGGATTAAACACCGTTCACCTAATCTGTCCTTTACTGTAATAGGATGACCAAACTGATCAAGTTGTGCTAAGTGACATTTACTAACAAGAACTTGAGCGCCTATGGTTACTAACGGACTCAGGATTAATGGTGTGTTAATGGAAGTAGTTCTATCACACCACTCCCATTCAGGTGGCAAAGTTAAAGAGACAGCAATGCACGAAACGAATTCCGAGAAGAAATATCGTAAGCGCTACTTAATATACAGCATTATACTCTGGATTTGTGTTGTGGCGGCACGTGGTCCCACATGGGTAGGCCGCACAGTGACTGAAGTTCCCAGCACTAACCTAAGGCGTGAACCGTGGTTGAAACTCGAATGACGGCGTGCCTGTCCAGTCGCCGGGAGTAGCACCCCGGCGACCAGTTACACCACGCCCACTTTCAAGGACGACATCCAGTGCTTCAACCCGTACCCATAAGATCTAACATAATTCCTGTTTCCTAACGGCACTACAAGGTCAAGCGATCTTAGTCTCGCGTCACAGACAACTGTGTACAAGTGTTCGCATAAACTTCATAAAGTGTACAGTATATACTGTATACGCATCAGTGCACATGTCCCCAACTCAGTCGACCCACAATCGTGACCATACCCGCACACTGCACTCCCTAGTAAGTTCATCGGCGCCAAGCCCTACCCCCCCCCAACCCCCCTTGTTTGTCGAGCCTCCAGTAACGTTTGGTTAGAGGCTTAGAACATGACCACGAATACTTTGATCCAAAGTAACGCAGGTGTTGTGAGATATATTCTGCGGTGCGATGCCATCTTGTTCACTTACTACATCCCATCATTATGTCTACCATCAGTAAATTATCCACCTCATATAAAGTACATTAGTTAATCATCTTGTATCATGTTAATTTTCTAATATTCCCTTGAAATACACAAATAACCTAACCAATTAGGAAGGCAATACATTTTCATAAATATAACGCAGCTGAGGAATCAAAGGTCGTGAAGCGGCCCCCTGAGCAAGTGCAAAGCCTGCACGACCAGTGGGTGAGATAGGTACCACTAAAGGCTGAGTTGCTATGCTGGTCCACTGTCCCTTAGAATTATCCACCCTCAACGTAGGCCCCCAACAGAGTAATCACAGTCACTCAAACAGTGTCCAACCCCTCATGACTCGAATGAACCCAAACCACAATCTGTATCTAACGAACTTGTTATAAATATATACTATCTCCACAGCATCTTTATATGACCACTGAGATATATATATATATATATATATATATATATATATATATATATATATATATATATATATATATATATATATATATATATATATATATATATATATATATATATATATATATATATACAGGGTGTCCCATAAATTTCCATACATAGGAAAAATAAACCTTTTTATATGAAAATCCATTTTATTTATATAATATGCTCTGCATGACTACCATTCTGTTGAAAACACTCTTCAATGCGTGTCCTCCACTGCTGAAGAACACGTTCAAGCACAGCTGGAGTTATGCTCGTAATGGCGTTGGTGATACGTTGCTTGAGATGATTTATGTTTTGTATCTTTCCCTGATGCACCATGGCCTTCAAATGCCCCCAAAGGTAAAAATCAAGTGGGGTAAGGTCTGGGGATCTGGGAGGCCACTCCACAGGACCACGCCGACCAATCCAATGTTAAAAACCATATGTATGGAAACTTATGGGACATCCTGTATATATATATATATATATATATATATATATATATATATATATATATATATATATATATATATATATATATATATATATATATATATATATATATATATATATATATATATATATATATATATATATATATATATATATATATATATATATATATATATATATATATATATATATATATATATATATATATATATATAAATATACTGTATATATATATATAATACACGAGAGAAAGAGAGCATAATGGTCTTCATTGTACTATATTATCGTCATATTACAATACTCTATGTAACTAAGCAAAACCTCAGGAAGATTGCCGGGATATTCTTGGTTAAAAACTAAGAAAAATTCCAAATATCTACATGTCTGCATTTTACTCCTAAAGTACTGTATATTGTATATTATAGTAGCTAATGTGACTCACCATAAAAGATTTAATGGTGTGGTAGAAATAAAATCAACTGGAAATGGATCTGATGATAATTTTTGACAAAAGTATTCCCTTAAAATGAAAAACGATAAAAAGATAATTTATCAGCACAAAAATGCATGAAGAAATGGGAGCTTTTGTTCTCGGAAAGAAAGATAAAATAAGAGGTTATAATAATAAATGAAGAGGAATGGTAAAGCTATACTGTACAAGTTCCATAAAAGTTACATGTTCTTGAAGAAGTAGACAGAAAAATAAGACTTAAGCAATTAACAAGTACAGTCATATATGGTCAATAGTATTCATCCACTCCACCACCTAACTGATGTAACTGGCCGGGTCCATTTGACACAATAAATCCTCCCCTTGTGACTAAATTAGGCCTACCATAATAGGTAGGAAATGTTTCACAATCATGCCTACCGGTACCAACCCTAGCGAGACAACAGTGTACAATACTATACTGTACAGTATTATGTATGTTGGCAGTCTTGTCTACCGGGTAGTCTTAAAATCTTTATTTTCTTTACTACAAGTATTGTACTGTACAGTACAGTATATGGGAATATCATATATTTAACATGAATAACAATAAGCAGAACTATTCAACAGTCTATCTTTGTTGATGCTGGCTCTTGTACATTGGAGTGTAGTACTGTTCTGTAGTACAGTACAGTAATTGTAAAATTGCACAAATGAAACAGTCTACTTCTGTATACAAACTTAGTACATAATTGCCAGTTCAGTAGAAAAGTTGCCAAATCTACCAATAGTGAGTTTCAGGAGCCATTCAACAAGTTTTAGAGTTGGTTTGAATTAATTTTTGCAATTTTTATAATGTAATAACTAGCTTACTGCAATGATTTTTGTGGGTTTTAATGAGTATATGCTAATTTTAGATAAATTTATCAAGTTTTGTGATTGCTTTAGCAACTTTTTGACTAAACATTGGAAAAGGTGTCTACAGTACACTATTGCATGCATCTGTAGTTGAAAGAAAAGTACCTGTATTCTTGGAAATATTCAAGCACATGCAACTATGAAACGTACAGTACAGTTGTGTCAGTAACACTCACCGTTATAATTCCATTTGTGTTGAATGCTGTAAACAGTAACATGAAGACCAGGCCCATCATTATTATGCTTAGAAATGCTTTTTTCTCTTGCTGGGAAGCATGTTGTCCAGCAAGTTGATCTTTATGAGATTCCACATCTTGGCCATCACTTGTGTGATGAGGAATACACTCGTTTACATGTTGATTATGAAGGTCACCTTCCTCATCACTAAGCAACGGTCTTGTACTTTCCATGGTGTTTATGTCTCCACTAAAGCTCTTTCTTTTACGAAAACTCATTGTCATGTTAAATCCAAAAAAATTTCCTGTACTAAAATGTTTAAATTTCTTTCCATATTTTGCCAAGGATAAAAAACCTTAATCTTTTTTTCTATATTTAATCCAACTGTTTCAGACACACACACACACACTCATCATTGGCGGTCCATCTATTTATCTCCTGGTCATTTCCAATGTGTCATGATGTACAACAATAAGTTTTATCTACTCTCCATTAGTTACCAATATAGTTGTTAATGTATATTACCAACTAGTAGTACAGGTATAAAATTACAGTACAGTATAATGAAATGCAATAAATTATCTAATCTAATAACTATATCACCTTATGTACAGTATTGTGCAAGTACAGTACAGTGTGTACACAAATTTTTCTATAACTTTTGTCAAAAGTTATAGATCAACTTGAACACTCATTTACAGACAAGAATTAAACTGATTTTATATAGAGCAGAATCAGGTCGGAGAAAGGTTCTAAGTGAAGTATCACAACAATCCACATTGGGAATCTACTCTGTTCATGACCTACATCAATGATGCAGACAAAATGTACCATGCCACATCATCAAATTAGTGGATGTTTAAGATTTATGGAGAAAATAGCAATCGAGAAGCCATTGCATTCATAAAAAAATGCTTTGCATGAACTTTTTAAGTGGTCAAATGACAAGTAAATTCTTTATACAGTAACAGTACTGTGTCAGAGTATAAAACTACAGTATTTACATAACTTGACAAATCAAAACACAAAAACTCTCAATAACAGTTCCCAGGTACTTCACAAGGAAAAGAAACTGGGCAGTGCAACAAGAATAGACAACAGTGAAAATAGCCAAACAACCTCTAGAAATCATACCAGTAAATAAATGGATAAGAAAATTATCACTCTGATCTAAAAATCACTTTTAGAGAAAGACATAACATCAGTGGATAAAGTGAAATGCAGGGAATTAGAAATTTTTTTGAATATCCAGATAGACAAAAAACTTTGGGATTGACAACTCCTCAAACAAGACACATCAAGGAAAAGAGGGTGGATGCTTCATAACCTATTATTCAGATCTTACGATTTACAGTCTGGAATGTTTTCACAATATATTGTACAGACACTTACCTATCATATTTCCATACATAATTTTGAAGATAATGTCTCTGCTAACCTATACACTCTGCAATAAAGTAAATTGGTGCTACTTAGTATTGGTTCATTCCGGCTACAATCAGACACCGCTTACTGATATACTGTATTTGTCTATTTTGCTGTGTGCTGATAGGCATGAAAGCCAGGATTGCTTGTAGCTGTGTCAAAAGTTGGCACTTCATTGGTGACACACAATTTTTCATTATCTTGATATGTTTTGATCTATATTTATTTATGGATATATTTCACAGGATTTCCATTACAAACACCAATTCTGTACAGTAATAGTTTACACCTGTTGTATGCCTGAACCAGCAATTTGATAACATTTCTCCATAGAAGATAATAGCTTTCTTACCTCTTGAAAATGACAAAAAGCACAATGAGCACCTTTTGCATAATATCTCCCTTACAATTTTTTCAATTTTGAATCTTACGCAGTAACAATGAAACATCCATCAGCCATGTTGGAATGTAGCAGTACAGTAAGACAGCAAATATACTATAGATTAAATTACGTAGTCTTATTTTTCTCTTATCTGCTAATATAAAAATCATAGTAGAGTTCCATGGATATACTCTACCATATCTTAACCTTAATTGGTTTGGTAAATTAGTCTGGTTCATTTTATGAACATAAAATTACAGGATGTAGCAGTATCTGCAACTTCTGGAGTTTAGTTTCCACATAACATTTTGAAAGTACAGTACTAGATACTCATTCCTTAAGTTATATGAAATAAACACAAAAATCCTTCCTAAAAGTTTGAACAAGAAATTAAGTCCAAAGGCTTTCTATCGTTATGCAAAATCAAAATTAAAAACACATGTGGGGTATCACATCTGAGGCCTGAAGATACTGTAGTAGCTACACACTTATATAAGGACAAGACGGAGGCATTAAACAAATTATTTTCCTCGGTGTTCACGAGAGGATGTGGACAACCTTACTGCGCTTCAGGAAAGACTGTTTGACACAGTGCTGACCCACATTGTGTTCTCAGCAGAAGTAATAAGAAATAAAGTGTCAAAGCTAAAGGTTCCTAAGAGCCCTGGCCCTGTGCTAAGAGTGTTGTGCAATGAGGTTGCTGAACCCCTTAAGATCCTCATCAGTAGAAGCCTGGATGAGCAAATGGTCCCCAGTGACTTTTTCAAGACCAGACTTGATTAACTTGTGCATGTACAGATACATCCTGGAGTCAGTGCATGCCCAGTATTTGCTAACCGTGTGTAACAAACGTGACCGACCACCCCCAAGTAACTAACGAGCCGATCAGTGGCAAAGAGGATAAAAATAAAAAGTAAAGTAAGTGGATATTTTGCCGTGACTGGTTAAGTTCCTAATTACGCTATTTTACCTTGAGTGCGCTCTGATCAGTTAATCAGATCAAAACGTCAATGCAAACATCTTTAGAACAAATGAACGCAACGGATGTTTTGCCATATTGTTCGTCTGTCAGAGCGCACTCACGGTAAAATAGCCTTAGTAGGAACTTAGCTGGTCACGGCAAAATATCCACTGCGAAAAGCAAATAGACATGGGGAAGATTCTCACCCTTTCCTCCCTGACATAAATAATAGTATTCCTTTTGCACTTTTCGTAATTTTCACGAAGAATGCTTTTATCTTCCATGTAGAAATTTCCTCAATAATGTGCTATCACACAAGTCTTAAATATCAAAGTAATGCAGTGAGGAAAGTACATTATTACCCTCCTTTTCTACACTCAGGTGTTGATAAAGTACTTTATTTTCAATGGCGAGCTAAGACCTTTAAAAAAAATGACTTACTAAGTCCATTTCCTCACTGAATTTCAAGTCATCCTAACCTGAATGAGATACACAATTAAAATAAATTTCAGTGCTTCACAGAAATTTGTTTTCATATGATCTTGATCTACATATACTGTATATATATCTTACATAGGTGTAAGATCTGCAGAAAACCTCCGATCGACAAAAATATAAAATTATCTGTATCTAAAGGTTATAAGTCATTACTGTTCTTTTGATTCTTCACTTGACACAACAGGTACACATACTGTACTGACCCACACGTCATGACAACCATAACAAATGAAATCGTAATGAATGTGTCAATAATTATACAAATATGTTGGAAAATATATACTACTTCTATTATTACACAAAAACATCAATACGCACTGTCAATTTATAGTAGAGGACATAATTTTATATTGGATATTTTTTATTTGTAAAGATAAGTTCATACAAAAAACAAGACGATTTTCATGCCACACTTTAGGCGCTCTTAAGAGGGCCGAGGGCGGCGCTCTGGCACCTGGGGCACTGGGCACTTTCCTCCAAACACTGTCCGGCCAGTAAAACAAGGAGACTTTTTGCGTCACATTGGGATGCTTGCATGACCGCCCAACACAACTAAAACAACAACAGAGCGTCTAGACGAGGTTTGTCCTATAGTTCTTTAATTGCTGAAGCAAGTGAGGCGTCTGCAAAAGTGGCGGCGGCTGGCTGGTCAAAGAAGACCCTGAATAAAGGTTTAATAATACTAATGAAGTTTTAAGTGACGAATAAATAAATATATGTCACCGTTTATGTGTTATATTTTAAATTATTATTCATGACTTATTTCAATTTTACTTGAAAATATATGTTCATTTTAGCACTAATCCGGCCAGCAAAGATCCTCGCCAAATCGTTGTCCATTTCTCAACAGGAGAATGCCTGTTGCTTGCTTGCCCAATGTGCTTAAAGCGCCCCCCCCCCCTAAAAAAAAGCTGGGTGGGTTCGCTGTGCTCGCCATGTTCCCCCACACACTACTTTGTGGACCCCCTCCCCCTTTTGATATTCTTGGAACGGCCCCTGAATAAGCGGGAGTGTCTAATCTCCAGGTACACCAATAAAACTAATAAAGATAAATGAACTTCAACCTAATAGACAACAACAAAATACAAACAATATTGTATTTTTAACCCACACTAAACTTAATGTAACCCAATTATTAACTACATTCAATGTATAATAAATAGTTTTTACATAACTAATGTTAAACTAATACAATAAAAGCTAATTTGAGTTAATACAAGCAACAGGAACCTAACCAAACGTAGTCTAACCTACCGTCGGTTAATTCTTAACTAAACTCAAGGTAAAATATATCTAAAAATTTTCACTTGATCCTTCCTATACTTTCCTAATTCCATCTAATAAACGTTATTATTAGTTACTACAAGCAGTAAGAAAATTTACAAAAATCTCGCATATAAACGACTTTAGAAAGTACTTACATTTTGCAGTAAACTAAATATTATTTTAGAATAAATTAGTACTTTGTTAAAATAAAAAAATATCTCAACATTTACCTCAATCATACTGGTAGTATTGAATGCCATAAAACACAACATGTAAGCCATTCCAAGTAGTATGATACTTAATAATCTTGAAGCCATCTTGAAGTCTCGATCAGGCCAGGCACAAGCTCGGACGGGGGTGAACTAAAACTGGGTTATATTGTGGCACTCCAGGCTGCTAGCACCCTGTGATCGTGCTCTGGAATATCTTGAGGGTAGCAATAACAGCTCCGGCAATCTGGTTAGAACAACTATGATCGTTATTGTAATTGTTTTCTCTCGGCATTTAGAATCTTTTTTACCCTATCTGTGGCTTTAAATGTGTTACATGGTGTGCAGATGTCTAATGATGCAGTGACATCATGTGACGTTATCATGTGCCATGTCTGTGAACTTGGGCCTAATTTCGTGGTTAAACATTATGGGCAATGTCTGCGATAACACTCAACTGATCACTTGAAGATTAAGCACCCCAGCTTATTTCACCTGAAGATTAGGCACCCCAGCTTATTTAACCTGAAGATTAGGCACTCGGCTTATTTAACCTAAAGATTAGGCTCCCCAGCTTATTTAGCCTGCATAGTACGCACCCCAGCTTATTTTACCTGAAGATTAGGGATCTCACCTTATTTCACCTGACAGGTACCCCACCTTATTTCACTTGATTAAACAAGCTAACCTAATAAGACCTAACCTAACCTTACCAAACTTAACTTTAACCTAACCTTATTTTCAAACACCCTAACATGACCTGGGGGATTAGGGTAGGTAAGGTTAGGTTAGATTAAAGTTAAGTTAGGTAATGTTAGGTTAGAAATGGTTGAATCATCACGTGAAATAAGTTGGGGTGCCTGTCAGGTGAAATAAAGTAGGACCCCTAACCTTATGGTGAAATGAGTTGGGGTGCCTAATTTTCAGGTGAAATAACCAGGGAGTCAAAATTTAACTACGTAAAAAATTAACCTAACATAACCTTAACCAAACAACCTTAAACTAACATAATATTAGCCTTATTTCATACCATATACAAATCTTGTGGCCTATTCTTTGCAATAATTGTAATTATAGTATTACATGATTACAGTATATATATTAGTGAAAATATTTTTGTCTATAGCTATTAAATCGATATTGATTTTATTGCAGGATATAAATTTGCGCCAAAAAGGTGATAATGGATTAATTTTTTTTGCTCTACCTCCCTATATAAAAATCAACGGTATGACTGCAGTTTCGGACAATATGGATTTCGAGTTGAGCAATGTGTTTTTCCGATAGTTTAGACAATTTTAATACACTTTTCTTCTATTTAATACACTTTTCTTCTATTTCTTCTAGGTTAAGTTAGGTAATTTTAGGTAATAAAAAACGCTATTTCTCGCCACCGCTTGGATTTTTTTTCAGTAGTTTTCTGATTTTTAACTCCCGATATCTCGGTTATGAGTAAAATGCGCCAAAAGTGTCATAGATTAAAAGAGTTTTGTTTTTGTCCAGAAAATTGTGATGGCAAACTTTTTTAGGGTGAGAATTGTAAACTCTTGGAATAATCTGCACGACTCTCACTAGAGAGTGTTGTGACAGCACCGAGTGCGAGCTCTTTTAAGACCAGACTTGATAACACTGGTGCAGGTAAAGAAACATCCTGGAGTCAGTACATGCCCAGTACTTGCCAGCAGTACGTAACAGAGACCGACCGCCCAATCTGCTAACGAGCTCATCAGTGGCGAAGAGGATGAAAGTAAATGATTAAAAATACGGTGTTGCGGAGCGAGGTGTAAATATTCCAAACACTTTTGAAGAAAATATATTATAAAAACTGAAAGATTGCAGCCCTCAAATTTGACAGTTTTCTGTCGATTTTTTACAATCTATGGACTTTTTAAGTATCGTTCCGCAGCGTCGTACATTTAATAAATAATTAACTAATATTTACTTCGGTAAATATGTTTAGCCATATATTTTAGGTATATTTTTTTTGCACAAAATAAAACGAAATAAGACTAGGCACCCTCCTGTCACCCATGTCCCAAGGTAGGTATCTACCTACCTTGCCCATGTCCATCCTTGTCTTAAATTGGTCCTATCTGTTAAACATTTCGCCATACATACATTAGGATTGGCCGATAAACGACGTAGGCTGGGTGTCTGTTATTAGTTGCTAATGGTAGACAAATGTTTCTATGAAAAGTTTCATGACAATCGAAAAACGTAACAATAATACATAGTTTTTTGCTATTTCGCATTTAAGTTTATTGTAACAGGTGAAGCTTATGAAATAAATAAATACATAGGGAGTCAGTCTTGTTGTTTGTTTAGCCCGGGTTCACGATAAGGTCAGTATTAGAGGTCTGCTTCAAACTCTAAATATTGAAATAATAACGCAACTTTACTTTCTTTGAAACTTCATAAAAAGATTAAAACTAGGTATAGCTTAAAAAATATGTCTGTAGTAAGAGCAAAACACTCAACACTATACCTGTATACTGTAATAAGAAAGGAGGATGTTGTTTACAAAGTGGCATAGGACATGTGTGGCCGACCAACTGATACACAGGTGAGTGGCGAGAAATGATAAGATTATATTCAGAGCAGTGTCCCATGGGCCAACCCGTGCCCTATATACACTAACTAGTATAACTACCCATTCTACAATAGCATCATAAGTTGTTGAGATTCAACTCTTCAGGTCCAAGTATCCCGAACTAAAATATATGCGGTAGAAGACTAATACCATGTACTGTATACTAACACTAATTTCGATTATGTGAAAACAATCCCAATTTAAGACACACTTGCTTGTCAAAAGGGACAGGGCTAAACAAAGGGGACATTACAAAAGTACTCAAACTATCCAACCAGGAGCGAACTCATAACAATGGTTTTAAATTAGACAAATTTAGATTTAGGCGCGAAATAGGTAAACATTGGTTTGGAAATAGAGTAGTGGACGAGTGGAACAAGTTACCAAATATCATCATTAACTCGAATACGCTGGATAGCTTCAAACATAGGTTGGATGGATATATGAGCAATAGGGGTTGGTGTAAATGGGACTGCCCAGTATGGACCAATAGGCCTACCGCAGTTTCCTCCATTCTTATGTTCTTATTATATTACTCTTCAGGTAAGTTCGAGTTTTGATAGACATGCATAGACAGACAAAAAAGGGAGTCAGGATAGAAAAACATAAAATGGAAAGAAAGAAGTATAGACAGGCAGGATAGATAACAGGGTAGACATGAATAAATAGAACATAAGAACATAAGGAGTCTGCAATAGGCCGGTTGGCCTGTGCATGGCAGCTCCTGTCGAGAGTTACTACCACTCTCTATCATCCATGAATCCATCCAGCCTCCTTTTGAAACTTTCCAGCGTTCCAGCACTTACTACAAAGTTGCTAAGCTTGTTCCACTCGTCCACCACCCTATTTGTGAACCAGTTCCTTCCTATCTCCCTCCTAAACCTAAACTTATCCAACTTAAATCCGTTGCTACGAGTCCTGTCCTGCTCGGATATTATAAGAACTTTATCTATGTCGCCTTTATTGATTCCTTTCACCCACTTAAATACTTCTATCATATCATACCACCTGGGAAGATATTGGAAGCATAATGTGTTGTCTAATGGTAGACCCCGCTGCCACATGGCATCACGAAAATTGTGACCAAGTCCCAGGTTGCTGACCTGACTTTATGCCTCAATTACACACAATTGCAGGGTCTCAACTGTTTCTCTTACTATTGACAACACAACATACAAATAGTGTATTGTTTCTCACTTTTGATCTTTTTTTGTATTTATGGTTCTTTATTATTATTATTATTATTATTACATTTTCGCCCCCCAGGCCCCTATGTGGGTCAGTGACCTGTGCCCGGGTGGGCTAATCCCCATAAAAAACAAAACCCTGGAGCCAAACATATTCCCCACTTAATTACCGCAGCCTCAAATCAGATTCTCAAATGTTCGTAGGTTACAACTATGATCGTGTGTGTGAACGAGATTTTGCTATCACTATAGTTGCTTTCTCTTACCCTCAGGCGTGAGAGAAAAGTTAAGGTATGAATCTTGGAGACTGGCCTGCCCGAGGGCAAGCATCTTGTATGTTATCCTATGTGACTCATTATATGGACCCCAAGTTAGGTTAGGGAAGGGCCTATTAGGACTAGGGCTCGTTTGCCTTACACTTTCTCGTCTGGACCTTCCTCATTTTTCGCCAGAATTTGAACAACAAAACAAAAAATATTGATAGTGAAAGTTAGATGTCACGTGTGTATATGTGTGCTCATAGTTGGGCGCGCTGCCAGAATCAGCTAATGACGGCAAACGTCTTATAGATTTGGCAGCGGTCTGTCGCCCTCGCTCCTATGCTGAAGACGCAGACCTTACTGCGGTAGTAGAGACTAGTGAGTGGGGAGGAAAGAGTGGGGTGCGGTGGTTGAGAGGAGCAGGGGGATGTCGGCGTCAGGTCCCACAGGTCGCTCAGGTAAACACCTTCCTTCACCAGTGTCGCCACTTGTCTGTCCACTGAGCTTTACTCCATATCGGCGGTTCTGTCTCTTCTCGGTACTCCACACTGAAGACGTTTTACTGTACAGTGTCCCTCTCTATTTTCTACATCTTAGTTACATTAAAATCTGAATCGAAAACACAACGGAAATTAAAAACAATTAAGCACACGTAGTCTAGACAATGCTGAGTCTTTTTCAGGGCGATTTGTCGATAGTCGAGGTTAAAGATATGGGCGATAGTAAATCAACCAGCGAACAAATTACAATGAATAACAGAAAGTATATAAGATCGTGGCAGGATTAGGTCATTACCTCACCCCCACGTGACAGTCATACCAAAATCAGTGTTTACATCTCTCACCTCACGAGACTTGGCAGCTGAGAGTCCTTACCAGATGCGAGCAGCTAAATATTTACTAGTCTAATTATTTTCACCCCCTTAAGTACGTTTCATTTTCGTATACTGCACATATTCCCACGCATAGTTTATATCATCTTAACTATTGCCTTATTTTTTCATTTTTTTGTATTAACATTAAAGATTCAGGTATGGACGAAGATTGTAATACAGTACAGGCATATGATGTATGAGTTGGGTCGAGGATATACATATGCATCTACGCGTGTGTGGCGCTTCGGCACCTCAGCATCTCACACATCCTCACATACGTAGTTATTGCAACAAAACTAATGTTATCAACTATAATCACTCCAAATTTTGACCGTCTTGTGACCGTCGTGATGCCATATGGCAGTGTAGTGGATTTCTTCCCTACAAACGTTGTTTGTCGCTGAGTAGCCGACCCCGCGAATTCCCCAGTGTATGCCTCGTGGTTTAGGTCAACCAGCGCCGCCTTACATCACGGAGGTCAACTATTAAGCCACGCCTACCTCCGCTATATAAGACCTGACCTCGTGGTGACCTGTCACTTTTCTACCTACACCAACCAGCAAGCAACACCACCTCCTCCGCTTCTGCCTGGCGGCCCTCGCTCCCGCCGGCGAGCATGGCGACCCACAAGCTGGTCCTCCTCTGAGCATCCTCACCAACCAGCTCTCTCTACATCACGCTTGTAACCACGCTGCCACTTCCCAGCACCAAGCTGCATTGTACATCCAATACAACATGTATACAGAGAGCACATTGTGAGTTTCCTTCTCCATCCCATCCTGAGTGTGAACCCCAACAACCCGTATACCCACAGCAGCAGGGTCTACCATTAGACAACACATTATGCTTCCAATATCTTCCCAGGCGGTAGTACCTCCCTGTTTGATAGCTGCCTGCTACCTGGAGTTTGTATTATAAAACTTAAACAATAATAATTATGATGCACAGATGAGGGCCATAAAATAGGGAAGTACAGTTTATGGACAATTAATGCAAACCCGTGGGTTATTTTGTTGTACCTCAACGTGTATTCATTAATTGTTTTTATTCTAGTTGGTATTTATTTGTGTGATTGTGTCACTAAGAAGTGGAACTATGTTTTTCGTTAGTCCTATTACTTGTAAGTAAATAAACACAATAAAAATCTTGTTGATTTTTAACCATACAGTACATTTACAAGTAATTAAATTTATATAAATATCATATAAGGTGTTTATAGTTAATGGCACTTGAATTTCAGTGGTAATTATTTATGTGTATGCCTCATCAAATTAAAACTAATCTTAGTGGGATTTAATTATTTAATTTTATTTATAATTTTAGATATGAACGCACAGAACGAGAGGTTAACTAAGCAATCGACACGAATTGGCAACAGTGTCAGGGACTCAACCTTAGGACGGGCAGCGGCCGCAGCGCAGCTTACTCAGACGCGGTGGTCGCCTACTGTATCGCGCAGCCTTACCACCGACAGACCATGCTTAAAAGTTCACAGACGTCACTTCGAACCCGTGCGTCAAGGTGGGTCTCTTATGTATGTGATACAATCGTGTGGAAAATTTTGTGCCTTGAAACCAATCCAGTGACGGTAGACATTGACTACAGTAAGTACCCGGTAATTATGAGAACAAGGCTGTTCTCTTCTGTCAGTAAATGATCATTCTTTTTGGTGAACCGATGCAGTTAGTTAGACCTGGCATATAGTGAGACCATAGTAAGTTTTGCAGCTTTATATGTGGATAATGTAGTAATAAAATAATTTTGCCTTTGAACACCTTTCGGTACGTAAACAAATAGGTGTCACGTGAAGATGTTTACAGGTGTGCCCCCACGTGTTGTGCTACCACCACCACAACGAAGGCCATTTAAACTAGGAATATTTTGTTAGTAACCCAAAGTCTTGTAGTGGTGTCAACAAATAATTAAATTTTGTGCTGCGCTGAACAAAGCCGGTATATTTGTCAGGCAAGCTTGGTGAAAATGTATATAGGGCTTGCAATTCGGTAAGGGAGATAGATATACGGTATTTATTATTAGTAGTGTGTTAAAATTATTATACATTGGATCATTATCTTACTGTAATCTGAGTCAACTTTACTAATCTATATACTACAAATAGCGTTAAATAAAGTTTAGCATGTTTTAATATGAACTAACTTGGGCGTTGATTATTACTCTTATAGTAATAGATGCTCATGGTTGTTGCCGACAGAGTACATGATAAAGGTGACAGAAGATTTCTAACACAGTCTCCCCGCAGGCAGAGTTGGTATTCATAATTCCATCTTGGCTGAAGTTCATTAAAAACATGAATCACCTGAAGAGTAGACATCGTAAGTCATTTTACCTGAAGAATAACCACCTTAATGCTACCTGGGGGAAGTTAGGTTTGGTTAAGCTTGCCTTATGGTGGTTAATCTTCATGTGATTTTCATGTTACACAAGAACACAACCTAACCTAACTTAATGTTATATGATGTCAGTGTGGGCCTTAGGTCATGTAATTATTAATGCCAACTATATACTGTTATACAGGTCAAATCAAGGTCGCATAGCCAACGCCCATTTAACCTAACTTCATCTGAAGAGTCTCCACCACAGCCTGCTCTATCCAGCCCTAACTGGGGTGAAGATTCTTCAGGTAATTTGGAAATTCATATCTTACCAATTTGTATACTTCTGGTTAATGCAGCAGTTTCCAAACACGGGGTATTTGGGGTCACAAGATACATCATAAGGGGTCGCATAGAGCTCATAGTGTTTCTGGGCTCCCATTGAGCTCATGGGATTGCTGGAGTTACTTGGTTCATACAGCGGTCTTTACTTTTTTTTTTTTTTTGTCCGAGTGTCAAGGACTGAAAAACCTTGCTGACAGGTGCTGTCTCATTGAGTCGGGGCCATAAATTATGGTCAAGAGACTAATGCAGTTACATACTCTCCTCGTGTCATGTTAGGTTTATTCTGATGACACGTTTACCAACAGAAGTTCCACACTTCTACCTTTGAGCAGTCCTCAGCACAGTTCATTCTCTACTTCCCATGGATGTGGACAAAAAGTGGCAGTATATTTCTATGATAGATTCCCCGAGTTGATTAATGAGTCTTTTGATTTTGTTCTGTTTCCATTCAAGACATGTAAAACAGTGTCGCTCTTTTGTGCTCCTAACTGCCTAGCTAATACTACAGACGGGCAAGGGGGGACCTAGTTGAGGTGTATAAACATCTCAGGGGTCACTACTCAGTTGAGTGTCCTTACTTGGAGCTGGCGGATGCTCGCCCCACAGGGGGTCACAGCTCAAGATTGAAGAAGCCGCAAGTCCAGAAAACCGTGAGGGCAAACTTTTTCGGAGTGAGGGTTGTAATCTCTTGGAACAATCTACCAGAGAGTGTTGTGACGGCACCGAGTGTGAGCTCTTTCAAGACAAGACTTGGCCAACACTGGAGCGGGTTCAGGTACATTCAGGAGCCGGTGCATGCTCGGTATTTGCCAACAGTGCGTGACAGAGACGTGACCGATCGCCCGGGCGGCTAGCGAGCCGATCTTTTGGTGAAGAGGATAAATGAAAAGGAAAAGTAATCAGAGACGTGACTGATCGCCCAAACTGTTAACAAGCCGATCAGTGGCGAAGAGGATAAAAGTAAAAGTAAAAGAAATGGCAGAATTACAGGCTGAAAACAAGGCAAGGGTTAATTTTGAGTTTTATATTACACTGCCTCTTCGCTTAACCCATTATAACATGGGTAGATAGGGGACATGTCAGGTGGACTCGAAGAAGTTCCCCCCACACACAAAAACACTCCAAAACCAAAATTGAAATACCCTGTACATCATACAGCTTTAAAGTAGATCACTAATAACAGGAATACTCCGGTTATCGTAGAGGATGCGTGCCAGTAAATGAGAAATTAATAAAATTTAATAATGTGCATTACAGGTACTCTTTTATCTCGTATGCACTTAAATTTGTCTGATGTCATAAAAAATACTCCACTTCAACCCAAACTCCTCACAGATAGCATTCATGGAGACCCCAGCAGCAATTCTGTCTCGTATCTTCAGTCGCTTTTCAATTGGTTGAGTTCTGAGCACCATTCCTTTTCACCAAGTAATCCTTAGTGGTGTTGTTTTGCCTTTACTTGTTTCAGAGGATATGATGATACACCAGAGAAGCACTAAATACAATACAAAAAAAAAAGTGTGCGGTGGAGCAGTAGTCACAGCAATAAACATGTGGGTGATGACACCTCTCCCAACTGCCACCCCACAGAGCTTGTCTGAGTTTTTTGGGGTTTCCGATTTACAGAAGTCCAACTTAGAGGGGTCTTACTGTATGATACAGTTGTAGCATATGACAGATGTAACCTAGAAAATTGTATGCTATTTTTAATCACATAATTATACCCCTAGCTAACAGAAATTTTATTAAATTATGATACACTACTGATGTAACTTAAATTGAGATTTAAATTATGATGCACACATATTACACATGAAATATGCCGGAGTTGCAACTAAGGAAATTGTATGTTACGTTGCTAAACCACATATTAATACTCCCAGGTGTAGAACATTAAATGATGAAATAACGTCATATATTAAACATGGCAGAGTTGCAACCTGTCTCTGCCTGTGTTTACTTTCATACTCTGCAATTACCGTATGTAATATACTTTCCTTATTTGTTTTTACTATATTAGAATACAGTATATGAATATGTTCTTACAGTATTTATTCTAAGAATTCTCTGCATCAATAATTACTGTACCATGTATCACCCTCCCTGTACAATGCCCCAATCCGCATAATTTTGCATACAGTATTTTCATATTTTATGTATTTCCTTTGGGTTCCTTTATTTTGCTGGGGGTAAATGTCGTGGACATTAGGGTGTACAGAGGCTCATTTTTGTGTACCTTCCAAATATCTTGATTCCAGTTTTCACAAGACTAATGCATGATCCATGGAGTACAGTACAGTACCTGTTTAGACTTCAACTGAAATTAGTGGTGCTGTAGTATGCCCTTGCACAAAGTATGAATTACTTGCTCTCATAGACTGATCCTTTCACGCTTCCATTCACACTGGCATTTTGTATTATAGGTGTGTTTAGGTGCTGACAGCATTCAGTACACAGTTGGTCAAACTTTATACAGGTATATCATAAGATTAATCTTTGTATTTCTGACTTGACTTTTAGTAAGTTACATGATGGCACGAAGCAACAGTTGGATGACAGACTATGCAGAGGAGGTGCTTTCATGGATGCATTATCGAGAGATGCAGCACATTCCATACAACGGTAATTCGCCACAGGTAGGTAGATTTACTGTTAGGTGGATAGTGTGCAGAAAAATATTTTGAGGCAAATGGTATTAGATATAATGATAATTGACAATGGCTGCAATGAAACCTGCTCTTAGATAGTACAGTGATCCCTCGGTTAACGAGCGCCTCGGTTAACGAGTTACCTTCCATAAGATTCTTAACTTCGGTTAACGAGCAATCCCTCGATTAACGAGGTTTTTTACGAGCCGACCTCAGCATGTTTTCGCTTGCATTTGGCAGTCCACTAGCTGTAGTATTAGTCCGCCAATACAGTAATCGGTTCTAGGGCTTAAATTCCTTACTATTTTAATAAATATCAAGAAGTTTATATTATTCAATAATTTTAAAAGTTTTAAATTAAATTTTTTAGTCATTTTAACAATTATTAAACATAATTGAAGTATAGGAAGCTAGTCTTTTGCGCGCCATACAGCCTGTCAACACACCATACAGGCGTCAGTCTCTGTGTCTTTTCAGTGGAGGTAACATCTTGCTTCAGACCCTCTTCAACTAAACGCTTTTTTTCTGTGTTTCCAAGCAAATTATTGGCCAATTTGAAATTTATTTTACATATTGACAATATATAATGTAGTGCAGTGTTGATTTAAAGAAAATAATCTTGAATTACACCAAGAGAACTAAAATTTTATGGGTGAAATGGCACCATGGGGTGACTTCTCTTCCACCTCAATACCTTCTCTTCTCCCTTCTCCTCCACCCCCATTCTAATTATCATCATCATCATCCAGGAGCCTTTTACATACACACCTCAGAGTAAGTGTACTTTACTACCTTTTTTGTTGAATTTAGGCAATTTTCAGTGAGCTGGAACCAATATAAATATAAATATATATATATATATATATATATATATATATATATATATATATATATATATATATATATATATATATATATATATATATATATATATATATATATATATATATATATATATATATATTACTGTACCCTGAGAGATTGGAGCGCCTGAACTTGCCTAGCTTATACTGCAGACGGGCAAGGGGTGACCTAATTGAGGTGTATAAGCATCTCCAGGGGCACTACTCAGTCGAGTGTCCTTACTTGGAGCTGGCGGATGCTCGCCCCACAAGGGGTCACAGCTCAAGATTGAAGAAGCCGCAAGTCCAGAAAACTGTGAGGGCAAACTTTTTTGGAGTGAGGGTTGTAAACTCTTGGAACAATCTACCAGACAGTGTTGTGACGGCACCGAGTGTGAGCTCTTTCAAGACAAGACTTGACCAATACTGGAGCGGGTTCAGGTACATTCAGGAGCTGGTGCATGCCCAGTACTTGCCAACAATGCATAACAGAGACACGACCAATCGCCCAAGAGGCTAACGAGCCGATCTTTTGGTGAAGAGGATAAAAGAAAAGGAAAAGTAATCACAGACATGACCGATCACCCAAGCGGCTAACGAGCCGATTGGTGGTGAAGCGGATAAAAGTAACTTAAAGTACACACACAAACACCCATTCCCTGGTTTATGAAATGATTCCCTTCCTGAAAAACATATTGTAAATAAATTTTTTGGAAATTGGATCACATTTTCCCTTAGATTTTTATTATAAAAACTTAGATACGGTCCTGCAAAAAAGTAAACTTTCCTCAAAGCATCTTAAAATGTCACAAATCATGTTTTTAATGGAATTTGGTGGTGTTTACAGTAAACCCTGAAACATCGCGGGGGTTAAGTTAATGGAAACCCCTTGAAGTCCCAAAACTGCGAAGCTCGCCCATGGGAAGCCCAAATTGCCAAAAAATTAAGAAAACCCTCTCCAGGTGTTTGAAATACATACATCAGATTGGATAGAACAGTTACTGTAAAGCAACAAATTACTATATGATAAATTAAATATGCACACTCACCATTCAAGATGTGAAGTTGTTGCCATCATGTTGTTGCCTCTCCCTGCCCAACCCTGCTATGATGATTATGTGATGAATGCTGTTGTTGTGATTAGATGGTGGTGATGATGTTTTGGATGAGAATTAATTATCATCTGGCTCTAGACAGGAGGCAGGAAAGAGTGGTGGGGGGGAAAGAGTACATAGGGGTAGGGATTGTCTTCGGAGTTATGCATAGGCCTGACAGATGTTGAGAGCCTGGCAGTTGTCAAGGGCTGAGTTGAGGTTGAGGGCTGGGCTGCGGTTGAAGGTCGTCGTTTAGAGAAGAACAATGTTATTGGCATTTGTGATCTTTGGTGCTTTAGATTTTTATGAATCTCTACGTAAGATGCAAGAGACTGCTCTACACTCTTAAAGATCAATGCACGATCAAGAGATGGATCAAACTCGATGAATTTATTTGTTGCTCCTCATAGCATTCATGGCCAGCTACATTTTCTCTCTTGTCCTCTTCATTCTTATCTTCTTCCTGAAGCCTACAAGGTCCTCCAACTCTTGATCTGTTATCTCTTTCACCTGCGTTCTCCAACAGGCTGGAGGTCAGCAAACCCCTTACCCCCAACCTCTTTGGCAATCTGAACGATATGTTGCAGCACAGGCGCAGGTATGGAAAAGTCTTCAAAATTATTCACCACTTCAGGCCATAGTGTCTTAGAGCACTCATTGACACACTTGGCACTGATGTTGTCATGGCACAACATGATGTAGGCGATGCAGTCTGTAATGTAAAATTTTTTCCAAGCTTCTTTTACACCTTCCTCACTGCCCTCATCAACAGCTTCATGAATCCTGAAGAAATTGTGGGTAATGTATTCGGCCTTGAAAACAGAGATTATGCCATGGTCAAGAGGCTGAATAAGAGAAATTGCATTTTTAGTGAAGAAAAATACCTCGATATTGGGATTTGCAAAGCATAGAGAATCAGGGTGACCACGGCAGTTGTCAATCGTTAGTAACACTTTGAACTCTAAGGCTATGTGCCATGTGCGAGTATTGTATGGCATCGAGCGACCAGGGCATAGAAGCGCAACCTACTTTCTAAAGCGACCTGTGTTCTATCTGTCAGCATAACCATGCTGTTTATGCAGTGCAGATGTTTGCTGGTACAGGGGGGCCCCCCCCAAATTTGTGGCAATTAGGTTCTCAAAATGGCCGCAAATAACATTTGCGGACCGGGGGTACCCTGTTTTGGTGCTCACATGAAGGCAAGCGAACTGGAAATAGTAAATAATATCTAAATAGATAATTATTGTAATACAAACTGATGCATTTTATTGTTAAGTCTATCGCTCTGAATTTATTTTCAGATACCAATGAGAGCTGGGATAATAGAATTCTTGTGTATGGTGAGTGAGCGTCTGAAGCTAAGTGTTGCAACAACCCACCTCTCAGTTTACCTTCTAGACAGATTCATGGATGCCCACCAAATAGCAGACAGCCAGCTACGACTAACAGCTCTCGCTGCTATATTGTTGGCTGGTAGGTTTTGTGCTAATTTTATAAATTTGGGAGAAGTATGTGTGTGAAAGTGGTGTATCATTTTGATGCAGAAAGAAGGATAGGGGACAATTGAGGGAGAAATTTGTGTGTGAACCATGAGTTTATTTGCATGATTTAAATAAGTGCTTATTTTCATAATTCTGTTATGATATTGAATTTCCATGAAATTTAACCCAGTACAGTACTATTATTAATAGGGTGCAGCAGTCGAGTGGATTCTCTGTTTGCCTTTTGCCTGAGGCTCCCTGGTTCAATCAGGAGCAAATCTAGGAATATAAAGGGGGGGGAACATTTCGAGTGCAGTGAGCCCATCCAGCATGTGGGAATTTGTGGGCAGCTAAGGTCCCCCCCCTCCCTCCCCTCCCAAGAATTTTTTTTAATCTGGCCAATATCAGGGGCATTTTGAGGCCATTTTCAAGCCATGCGCAGTTGATATTAGGAGATATTCTGAAGTCAATAGTAAATACTTTTTACACTGCAAAAATACCTTAGTTCAGTACTACATTAAAGAAAAAGTATTGGAATTTTCTGGTGAAATGGGGGGTCTGGACCCCCAGGACCCCTGGAATCCTGGATCTGCCCTTGTCAATCCCAGGACACCCTCAGTCCACCCAGCTGTGATTTGGTATACAATACAGTTTAACTTTCAATTTGAGTAAGTGAAGATGGTTGAGTGCAGTGACAATCATGCTGCCTCCTTGTATACCAAAGGCTTAGTATACAGTGACCTGTATGTACACTCGCTCCAAAAGGTATCTTTACAGAGGGGTGCGATGAATTTCAAAATTAACATTGCGACTTCTGTTGTCTCTGTAGAGTTGTCAAAATCCTCTGTATGTTGTGTCATATTGTCACATACAAAATTGTAGGTAGTAGGCAGCTATCAAACAGGGAGGTACAACCGCCTGGGAAGATATTGGAAGCATAATGTGTTGTCTAATGGCAGACCCTGCTGCCATATGGCATCACAAAAATTATGACCCAAGTCCCAGGTGGCTGATCTGACTTTCTGCATCATTTATACACAATTGCAGGGTCTCAATTGTTTCTCTTACTTTGACAACACAACATACAAATACTGTAAATGATAATACTTTAGGCAAGGTATGCCTTTTTTTAGTAATTTATTTAGCTAATGCCAGGCAATTTTATTCAGCACAGAGGAACCCCATGTACACAAGGGGTTAAGAGTCATCTTGCATTCAAATCATGATTTTTTGGTTATAATTGGTGAGAATTTTCTGTATAGATTCAAGTCCTGGCCCAGGACAGGCATGGGAAGGGTGTTATCCAATGTCACCCCCCCAATCATCACAGGTTTCCTCCTTTACTAGCAATAGACTATAATTCATAACAAAGTAACAAAGAACAGGCAAACCACACAAACAGTCAGTGAGCCGATTCCACAGAAAGCTATTGCCAGATGCCATTAGTTACAATGAAAGTAATTTTTTGAACCATCTAGCCTTTAAAAGCAATTTCATGTGTTATTGTATAAGGATATGGAAGCACAGATAGTTTCTATGATTCGTTGAAATTCAATATTTACTGACGAGTTAACAGTGAGTACCATACATTTAGGAGTGGAGGAGTAGGTTCTTTCCTTGTACAGTAGCTCCACACACACGACAATAAAAGGAGCATGCTCAGGTGCACTTGTCAGTGGTTTAAAAAATGTATAAGATGGGATTAAAATACAGTACATTTGAAAGATAATACTGTACCCAAATTTCTTGTTTAAGAATTACTCCACAGTGTATACAGTATGAGTACTGTATTGTATAATGATCCAAGTGTGAAGAGATTTTATCAGCTATTAGTTTGTGTGAAGCTGGCAAGTAACTGGCATGTTTGCACATGATAGATTACTTGTGGTCCATTATCAGTTAAATACCTTTATTGCATTGGCAGGATTGTACAAAGGTCACTTGAAATATTTGGTAAAATTTCTGCAAGGGCAACCATAGCCCTGAGCACTGTAGAGGGTATGTGATATAGGTTTTTATTTATTAAATTTATTTTATTTTTTTAATTTGAGAAATTTATTTTTTTCTTACTTAAAATATTTCATAATTTGTTGCAGCAAAATTTGAAGAAAAGGATATGAATGTTCCAAGAATTCCGGAGCTGAATGCTTTTGTAAATAACAGATACGGTACTAAAATCTTTAACTCGATGGAAGCTTTTATGCTCAAGTACTTCAACTGGAATGTAGGTATGTAGGACTTTGTTTTGTCTTGTAGAGAACCTGTATATTTTGTTGTATACGGTATTTAAATTTTGACAGAATGTTCAAATCTTTTCTTAATGGAAAATTTATTAATCTATTTGCACCTTTACCTTATTTACCTAATGGCCACCCAAACTAGGGGTTACAGTGCTGAGGTAAGGCTATTTTGAAACCCAGCATTGTTCTTGATTCTGCAGCTTGAGCTGGTAGACTGTTCCATAAGTCTACCACTCTTTGTGTGAAGAAGTATTTCCTTTTATTTGTCCTGCATGACATTGCAAGACAATAGACTATGCTCATTTATTCTATTCCTTTCAAGATTATGAATATCTTGACAAGATTTTGCCATTTTGTGTCATGTCTGAAGAGTTCATTGTTAGTATACTGTAGTCCTAAGGCCCTTGGTCTACATGGATAATCAAGTTGGTATAATTCAGGAATCACCTTAGTTGCTCTGTGGTGCACCTTTTCTATGGATGGTAAGTCTGTCTGGAGGTAAGGTTTCCATGCTTATATACTGTACATTAATCCACATGGGGATGTACAGTCAACAAAAAATTTTCTGCACCTTTAAGGTGTTATACAGTATGACACACCGGACCAAGAATTCTGAACAACACTCTAAATAAAACTTTAAGCTTTGTTTGGCAAACCTTTTGGGCCACTTGTCCACAAGCCTTTATTTGTGTTGAATTATATGGGTTTTTTTTCTCAGTCCCTGTTCTTCAAAATAATGCAAGGCTACTTGTACCTTAAAGGGCATTACTCTCTTGAATGTATGCATATGGAATTACTGGATGGATATTATATTTGCACATGATATACTTAGTGTTTATTGCTTGCTCTACAATGTTCTTTGTGAAATATATTAGAATATTTCATAGGAGAAGGGGATGGTGTAAAGCTCGGCTAGAGGAGCCAGGGATTATTGGTGGGTAGGGCATTAGCTTGGTTCGTTTTAGGGAATTCTGGAAATTGGATATTTTTGCCATTAAAGTGATTTTGGAAGGTTTTAGGTTGAAGATGATTAGATAAAGCAATTCTGATCTGAATCAGCTAGATATACTCATTCTAAGAACCTTTTCTTCATTATAATAGTTCAGTAATGTTAATAAGAACAAGTTGCCACTAAGCTCCTGTACTCTTTCCAGTGATGTTTTTGCTTGAGTCATAAACTACATACAGTACAGTATATACAAGAAGCAAACATATTGAGCTATATTTTTCAGGGACTGTGACAGTGGCTCACTTTGCTGAGTTCTACCTCATGCATGGAATAACAGCTGGTGACACGACTGAAGGAGAAAGCCTTGCAGCCCCTGCATTAACCAGGCAAACACTTTGGAGGACAACTGCTCACTTTCTTGATATTACACTACAAGGTAAGATTCCCTCAATTACACTAGATGATTTCCCATTTTATGCACTCTGTAATTATTTTGGATGCAAATTTTTTTCATTCTTTTACTTTCATAGCTTCATATATTTATTCTCAAATTAAATTTTCAATTTATCCTACACTGGATGGAGGGAGTGTTTACCTTAATTGATCTAAAGGATACCCAGTGATATCCAGTGACATGTAGTAATGCACTGTTATGTTTATTACTCAACCCTTTGACCCCGGTTGCCGTAAGACCTGCCAAACCCCCATGTGGGCCTATTTTGGTAAAAAAAACACTTCTTTTTTTCTTAAATCATTGTCACCTTATAAATGGGTTAATATAAGAAAAATACGCACCTGCAACATGCACTTCTTACTTGATGCCCTTTTATATCATATTTCTATCCTATAGCTATTACAAAACAAAATATTTATATTTTCCTCGAAAGAACTATAAAATACTGACCAGTAGGACTGTTTAGGCAGTACAAAACTTATCACTGTTTTCAAATAAATACATTATTTACATGTACTTATACTGAATATAGAGCTACTTGATCATGTGGATGTCTTTGTAACATGGAAGGCACAAGGCAACTCCACACTCCTTGCATCATGTCGCCATATCTCGGTGCCAAGGTTCACGGTGGCTGGGTGGGTGGGGAAGGAGCGCTGGTCTGTAGGCCAAACACTGTCCTCGCTGCCTCAGCAAACTCAACATCATCTGGGTTCTGTTTCCTCCCTATCATTGTCTTCATCATTCGAAATAAGCAACTCACGTGAGTTGATTTGCCAATTATACACAAATATCCCATACAAAGTATTTCCTCCTGCCCGGACATTCAAAATATGCCATGAAAAGTAAGAACATTCAGGAACGTCACCAGGGGTTTAAAGGTTAAAGAAATTTATTTGCAGTTAAGTTTCTTCTCTTTGGTCTCAGGGTGTCTCCTAGGGTTTCAATGATGCATAAACAGTGATTGTTTAGTTTATTAGACACAGATTTTCTGCATAGTTACTTTAACAGTTGGTTGATTTTAGGTACTCCAAGAAGTCTTGTCAGGTGTGATACTGGCAGAGTGATAAGCTTTTTTGGGGGGGGGGGGATTTCTCCCTTCCCAATGGGACATATGGAGGGATTTAGTTGGTCATCCATCAGACAATGTAAGAGAGTTGTAGGTAATTCAAGTTTGCAACCTAAGTTGTGGATCTCTGTAGACTGTTTCATTTGGTAGCATTAATTAGGATGAACCAATCTCTTAGGACTTGTTCCAGAAATGTTTTGGTTGGTTTCTCTTGAAAGTTCCATTCAGCTTTGTTTTGATGATTGAACAAGAGACAACTGTCAATCCCTGATTCATGGACTCATCCACCTTGGGATATGTCGGTTTGGGTGGATGCCTCCAGTGAGTGATGAAATTTTTGTTTCTTGGATCATTATGTGGGTAGTGATGACGTTCCTTATGCCTGAAGTTGTAATCACCCTCTTCCGTTGATGCGGTTGTCATGTTTACAACCAGACTTAAAAAAATTAAGTCTACAAGTGCTTGACAGGGAGGTAGGGCAGTAAAATTAACTTATACTATTGGAATTAGTTCATTTTACTGCCACACCTCCCTGTTAAGCAGTGTAGTGGGGTGTCCTTTGAGACTCATTTTTTTTTAGAAGTGTTTGTAAACACGACGACTCCTGTCAATGGAAGAGGATGATTAAAACTCCAGGCATCAGTTTCTACATACAGAGTCTGCACATTAATTTGAAGGAGATCTTGGTTTCTCTTTACTTTCTTCATTCCATGGAATAAACTTCAGGGGGAGGAGTATTTTGTTCTGATTGATAACATTTTAGCAATGGCAGATATTAAGGAAAAGGTTCCTCTAGCAAAACTACAGTTACCTATAGTTTCAAAAAAGGTTCTTTTTCTGGCATCAAAGCTATCTTGTTGTGTTCTGCCCATATGTTGCTTTCATTTTCAAATGTCAGGGCAGATTCTCTGTTGATGAATAAGGCCATGCCATCTGAAAGGATGTTGGATCAAGGCTCATTCTCTGAGTGAGTGTCTTGAGGTGGATTTGTTCATAATGTCTGCAGTCACTATGTCTGTGTGTGGTGTCCATTCTGCAGGAGTGTTTGATAAGGGTGAAGCCTTTTCCATGAGTTGGAACAATTGGAGTCAGGTTTACATGATACCTCCATTTGCTCCTATCCTGCAGGTTAGTTCAAGGGGATTATTATGCAGATAATTAAATTTTGACTGAATAGGGTTTTATATTCTCTGGCTAGTTTCAGTTAAATAACAGGCCCAGCTTCATCAGATGGGCCAGGTGCTCAAACCTTACAAGACAGTAATCCATCTATCTTATGTGAACTCATAATAAACTGAGAATTAAAACTTCATAGTTTATGAAATTATAAACAGAAAGTTAAGATGTAGCTGTGTACTGTAGATAAAGTAGGACTTACGTAAGTAATGTGGCACTGAAGAAAAATTAATCTATAAATATTTTTTTACAGACCAAGTTTTTCTACAATGGCCTAGCTCACAAGTGGCTGCAGCATGTGTCGCTTGTGGACGCTTGTTCTGTCATTTACTCCCAACATGGCCAGTGGCACTCGAAGGCACAACGGGATACCAACTACAGGCTCTCTCACAACTTATGGATCTGTTATTGAGGTATTGTGTAGTATTTCTGCATGCCACTGATATGCTTCTGTTCACCATTTTTCTGTTTTTCTCCCAGCAACTATTGACCTTTCCATCTTCATATTCTCCAAATTGCTGACCTAGTTAATTGGGATAGATGTGTGTGTGTTGTGCATTATATCATAGAACCCACAAAATATCCAGGGGCATCCATGTGGATAAGGTACCAATTTCTTATATTTTTTAACTGAAAAAAGTAATTTCCAAGTGACTTTTCTAAGCTATCCGCTTACATGCGCGCATGGTACAGTAAAACCTCCCGAAGTTAGTGATCGCGCTGTGCACTGACAAATTATTTTTTGTAATTCCCTTTAAAATGGCTGGCAAGCGTAAAAGTGAGAGTTCTCGTGGTGCTGAGAAGAAAAAGAGACTCATTTTAGAATTTCTATGTATTATTTTCGCCTTTTCGACTTACGACCTGGTCGTCGGAACGGAACCCCGTCGTAAGTCGAGGAGAGACTTATATGAGTATACTGGGTATTTTCCATAACCCTGAGTCTCTTGTTAGTTCTATCTAGAAGAACCAAGCATAATTTTACATTTTTATGACTTCTCTCAATGCTGAGGAACAATGATATGCACTTTGTGGTATGCTTTTCTGCATGTAGTTTTGCTCGAGTGTTTGCTGGATTATGTAAAAAGTATCCAGCAAAGATAGTAAAGTTTTGTAGATTCCTGTAGATACAGTGCTGTTACATTCTTGTTATTACCTGGTTAGATTTTAAAGTGTAGTACTGTAGTTTGATAATTGTTCCTGTAGTGCTATTTGTGTTCCACAAACAATTCTCACTTTTTGTCACAGAATATTTATGAATGACAATATGTTTTGGTTTACCTACTAGATTGACAACTTAGTGTCAGAGAGGCCAATAAAAAGTGGTGGTTACAAAGAGAAATGAAAATTCAAAGAATTATCCAGTGGAGAGGTTTGGATGATGCTGTAATTCTCTTGCAGTAAGTATTACCTTACAGTTGAATATTGACAGTTTATCTACACAACTGAGAGATTATAGTCTGTCATCAGGTCACTTCCAGACTTAACTCGAGCACACACATATCCACAGGGATGAACCAGATGTTCAGTCACTTGTTGACCTGATGGAAAATGGATGGGGCATCCCCTCTTGACAGTAACATCAGAGCCGAGCAGCATTTCCACAGCCACAACTGCTTCTGATGTCAGGTGATCTTCAAGTAACTACATAAGCAGGTAGGAGAGATACCATACCAGCACTTCAAAGAAAGATTGATGGAAAAGTTAATTCAGAAATCCTTTCATCTGATTCCAAGACTTTGACCGTAAGACTGACAAATGACACTTCAAGTGAAATTGAAGCCTTTGGTATTATTCAGGATGGAGGAAATGCATGTAGTGTCAGAGAACTTTATACCATTGTGATTATTGCCTCGGAAAACATATTATAATCCGGTAGTCTCGAGCTTTAAACAATAATTTAGATTGCTGTATGAAAGCAAGCACACACCTTAGAAATCATAATATTAATGTGAACAAAATGGCTGAAGCAGAACATCAACATCAGAAATGTAAACTTGCATTGGGTGTAATGCAGTTAATGCATTTAAAGGCTGAGGGGACGTTAGTCCTTTGGAGCTCCTACTGAAAAGCATACATTAAGAGGAGGAATTCACTCTGGGAAGGCGTAGTCCCTCCAAAAAACTTGCTCAGTGACCTTCAGTACTTCACATTCTGTTCAGAACGAAGAAAGGAGAAATGGAATCAGGTCAGCTACCTTTATTTTATGGCTGCATGAGCATGCATGCTTTGGGAGCAAATTGCCAATTTGGACTGTAATCTGAAATATATTATTCCCAGCATCTTAAATCCTTTTGATGATGGTACACGAGTTGAAGAAGATGGATGACTTATTTTGCTTGATGATATGACCTCCTCCAACCTAAGATGTCCAAAGGACTCCTTTACTTGCAAGTACACTAGTGTGCAACTAGTGTACTTAATCTGGTGTTTTAGAAATGAACAAAGACGCCTGGCTATTGTAATCATGTGACAATATGGATGATGATGATGACCTCTTTGGTGTACTTGTCATCAATGCATGAGTAGTTGTGAATTTGTTATGCCAGGTAAGAAGGGAAGTACTTGGGCTACCATTAGGGTAGTGAGGGGACATCAGATGTGGTGATGGTGTAACCATAACTAGTTTAAGTAGTAAATATGATAAACACAGTTTTGTTCTTAACCCCTATGATACAATTCCCGTGCTCTCTACAATAAATAGTGCCAGTGTGATTGTCACACCATTTGTGGTAATGGTTTTCCCGCCCATACTTTGAATCTTATTGCCTGATAGACTCTTCTCATTTGATCAGCTGGCATGTAGGGAAGTGGCCACTTACCACAAATTATCTCATGGTTTGCCAGTGCCTTCTCAGTCATGGGGGAGAGTAGCCATGCATTCAAGTGTCTCCACCTCAGTCTGAGTGTCCAGGAAATCGAGGCCATGTATGTTAGAAATGCTTGTGTACTGTATATATGAGTGAGTGTATGTGTGTGACGAAGTGAGATGTACAACATCTGAACCTGTGCTGTAGTCTGAGAGTACTGTACTTGTGAATGTGTCTGAGTGTAAGAGTGTAATACTGTAAATGTGTGTGTTTGTGTATGTGTAATACTGTAAATGTGTAACTGTGTGTTTGTAAATGAACACACACGCACACACACACACACTGTATTTATTGTCACATTCAAATGAAATTTATCAGAACTCAACAAATTTAAGGTGCCAATTGAACCATAATGAAACACTTTATATTTCTCCCTTATCTGTCCAAATTATACAGATTATGACTTATGCCATATAGAATTAGAAGTACAGTAAAACACAATACCGTATGGTAAACACTGATGTGTGCTGAACATATTAAAAAAAAAAAAGACAAAAACAATCCACTTGAATATACCATGTGGGTAAGTACAGTGACCCCTCGGTTAACGAACTCAATCCGTTCCAGAAGGTCGTTCGTTAACCGAAAAGTTCGTTAACCGAAACCATTGTTTCAATGGGTTTTTGGGTAATTGGTTCCAGCTCACCGAAAATTTCCTAAATTCAACAAAAATGGTAGAAAAGTTCACTTACTTTGAGGTGTGTATGTAGAAGGCTCCTGGATGATGATGATGATGATGATGATGGGATTTAGAATGGGGGTGGAGGAGAAGGAAGAAGAGAAGGCATTGGGGTGGAAGAGAAGTCACCCCATGGTGCCATTTCACCATAATATTTTAGCTCTCTTGGTGTAATTCAAGATTATTTTCTTTAAATCAACACTGCACTGCATTATATATTGTCAATATGTAAATTATATTTCAAAATGACCAATAATTTGCTTGGAAACACAGAAAAAAAGCGTTTAGTTGAAGAGAGTCTCAAGCAAGATGTTACCTCCAGTGAAAACAGAGAGAGACTAACTCCTGTTATGCTGTGTTAAGAGGCTGGATGCCGCGCATTAAACTAGTCACTTTACCTTCAATTATGTTCAATAATTGTTAAAATGACTAAAAAAATTAATATTGAACTTTTAAAATTATTGAATAGTATAAACTTCTTGATATTTACTAAAATAGTAAGGAATTTAAGCCCTAGAACCGATTAATGTATTGGCGGACTGATACTAAAGCTGGTTGCCCGGTCAGTGCAAGCGAAAACATGTTGAGGTCAGTTCGTAAGAACTTCGTTAACCGAATTTTTTTCTTTGGCTGAATTGAAGATCCTTATGGAAGGCAGTTCGTTAATCGAAATTACGTTAACCGAGGTGTTCGTTAAACGAGGGGTCACTGTATCTCGATGAACAGGCTGAGCAGCAGGGAATGAACCCTGGCCATCAATCTTCTGGCAAGTGACTTTTACAATTCCAATGACTTAGCTTGGAGGATCCCCAGTTCAGAGGATCCCCAGTTCATTGGCAATTGCCTTATGAATGGATGTCTTTGGATTCCAAGTTTTGAGTTGAAGAGTAAGCTGGTTTTATGAGCATGCTTGCCACAATCTTAGAAATTATAAAATGCTATGTTATGGAAAGTGTGAAGTTGTAGAAGTAGAAGAGCAAATGCTTTATTTGAAGCTGAATTTCTGAAATGGGATGCCAAAAAGAAATATGTTGGATATAAATATTCTAAAGCAAAAGACTTAGGTGAATTAAAGGAGAGTTTGTCTTAGTAGATAATGAAGAATATAAGATTATCATGTACAGTTGTGGACAATTTGAAAAATTATGGATGAAATTAGAATTGCTATAGAAATATTGTTTATGGTATTACCACGGGCAATGTATTATTTTTAGCACTAGTTCCTTACTAGAGATAATTGCTAGACGTAGTACTAACATTTTCTCTCCCTATTGGCAGATTAAATGAAAGTGAAGAAAAGAGCAGTGTCTGCAACACCCCAGATTCTGGATATGGGAGTCGCTGCTCCAGTCTCCAAGGATCTCCATAAGTACTAGAGAGTTCAGTTCAAGTGCTTCATAGATGTATATAAGATGTTGGATTTGCTGCTAGTCAAGTATTGTGTACATTCCACAAGACTTATAAATGTAAGGTTTTTATATTGAGTTATGGATGTTTTTTGTAGAACTTTGGTATTTAGTTTTTGTTCATCATGCAGTATATTGTACAGTATCATGAAATTTTGCATTGAATAGAAAATGTGTGGACTAAGGATTGTTATGAAAAAATGATAAGAAGCAGTGAGTACCTGTGAAACATTTAGCATTATTTGTATTAGTTTTCTTCACTGTTAATGTTGCATGATGAGCACCTAAGAGTTTTGAAATACATTGGAAAGTTTATGAATTTTGCATTACTGTAATATAAAATATTTTCAAATTCACTTTGTTTGAATTTGTAAACAAGGAACAGTGGCAAGGTAAAGTAGAAATGATTTTGTATTTCTGTGATATGTTTAACTAATACATCTGTGGTTATACACTGATGAAGTATCCCCAGTAAAATGCCTTTTTTTTTAATTTCATAAGCTGTCTTATTATATAATTGGCATTAGTGTACTGTACTGTGAATGAATAACTTAAGATGTAATTTATTTATAATTTCCACCACTTATCAGCATACCAGTTGTTCAGGTTGTCAGTCTGTTGGATTTTTTATTAGAATGATACTTGTGAATTTTCATATTTCAAGTGGCCTCGTATAATAATATTACCTCCATCTACAACACAGCTACATCATTTATATGCAAATTACAATAGGAAAATGTACATGATGAGGAAGTTCTTTTGAATATCCTTTAAATTAATTTATTTCTTTGAACCTCACGTGGCTATGACATTGCCATGACCTGATCTCCAGAAGATCATTATTATTATTTGTTAATTTTTAATTTTGTCTCAAAAACAGAAATTGAAGTGGATACTTTAAACAGCCATTCAGGTATTGATGGGTTCCTATCTAGATATGTATGGTAGCTATCATAATGCTGGTGTTTAGAATGCTTTTTTATTTTAGAGGAATTTTTCAGTATTTTCTGTTGTTCATGCTCATCCTCTCAACTTAATCTTGTACAGTACTCTGGTGCTCAGAGTACAGTATGTTGAATGTCTCAAGATAAATAGGCATGACTTACAAAGGCTGGGATTTATTATTAACATTTTAATTAGCTTTTACCCTGTACAGTACAGTAAAAAGGCCCAGGCAGCATTAGAATAATTAGCTGAGGAAAAAGTATTAGTTCTGTTCTTAAGATTACAATGTGGTCTAGGTATACTGTATATTATACTTGTACATATATAATTGTATCAGATCATTGTAGGGCATTGTCCTTGTGAGTAGATAGATCTAAATGCTGTTTAGATGCTTTTTTTCGGTTTACAGGTAATTATATTGAAAGTTAACAAGCAGGATTTCCATGCAAAAGGAATATGCATACCTGTATATTTCATGTTTGAGGAAGGAGATAGAAAATGGTTAATATTCCTGTTTTGTTTATCAAGGTTTTGTAGTTTTGTTCATTGGCGTAGCTAAAACTTACAGTATGTATAGTACGTGTTTAGTTACATTTTTTTATATCCCTCTACAGTACTTTTGAAATAAACGGTAAGTAATATCACAATTTTGTCATAGTAAACTTTATTAAGCAACAACTACAGCAGATGGGTATTAGGTTAAGGTTTAAAGTAGGTGATCTTGTTATAATGGTGCTATTAACTTAAATTGTGCACAAATGCTAGTGGAATAAGAACCGAACGACTTTGAGTGGAAACTTCTACTTTCCATTTGTTTGTACTGTGCAGTGTGTCATCCATTAATACATAATTATAATAGTAGATACTGTGATACATAGAAGTCATTTAAAATTCTTGTTTATTAGTTTTACGGTTTAAGGTTCAGCTCTTATTAACCAAGTTTTACTGATTTTCATTTAAATTTTCCAATATTCATTGTAAATATTTGACATACTTTTCTCTGTTCTAGTCAAACTTCAAGAACATATTTTTTGTTGCAATTTCTTTTGGTTCTGTCTTTTCGTTCTTTAATACACAAATGGCGGGTAATGTTTGTAATTGTTCAAATGACTGTATCTTATGTGAGCTTCTAAATAAATTTCGCAAATGGCATATACCAATACAGTACTGTACAAAAATGTAGAATTTTTTTCCCTCGGAAAAATGAAGAGGTATATCCCTGGAAGTGTTTAGCTTTGATAAGGAAGCAAATGTATTTGTGAAGAGAGAAGATTACTGTACAGTATATGGAATGTATAGAACATGTCTTGGTATATACACTCAATAATTGGGGATTCTAATCTTTGCATTTTGATACTTTGGTAAAAGACAGCTTGCTCATTATAAGATTATGAATACAGCCTCACCTAAACCAATAGAACCAATGCACTGTATGTGCATCAAAGGTCAGTGATTCATGATCTTGAACAAATCTATAATAGTTATACAAGGGGCCCCCCCAAGTTCGCTGATTTTTTACTTCGTGGTTCTCGGTTATTCGCGGATGACACCCCTGGATGTACTCAAGAATGTCTGTGGGTACAAATAAATAATAATGGGAAAATACTCTCTCAAATAATCAAACAAATTTATTAAAAATGTTAGTCTACCTTCAAGTCAGTCCACCCTCAAGTCTGTGCTATTTTACAGTATTTTATTAATAGAGCATGGACTTGAGGGTAGACTCACATTTTTAATAAATTTGTTTGATTATTTGCGAGAGGATTTTCCAATTATTATATATCTGTATGTGTGTGTGTCTACACACACACACAATACTACAGGTAAAAGAAATAATTGTCCTAAGGGCCCCTGTATTTCAGATTTGTACCAAAGACATATTATTTTACTTTTATCCTCTTCGCCGCTTGGGCGGTCAGTCACATCTCTGATATGCACTGGCCTTGAATGCGCTCACACTCGGTGCCGTCCCAATGGTCTCCAGCAGATTGTTCCAAGAGCTTACAATTCTCACTCTGAAAAAAAATTTGCCCTCACATTTTTCTGGATTTATGGCTTCTTCAACCTTGAGCTGTGACCCCTTGTGGGGCGAACGTCCGCCAGCTCCAGGTATGTACATTCAACCGAGCAGTGTCCGTTAAAATGCGGTTTTCAATTGCTACAGGGAGCGCTTGGCATGTACTGGAAAGTCATATGTGAGACTGACCACATCCAGAAGCAGAGGGGTCCAAGATGCAAACAAAAGAAGATGGAGGAGCATGTGGTGGAGTCCTCCTGTGGAACAAGCTTCAATCTCAGCAATGCAGAACTTCTGAAAAGGAACTTGTATTTTCATTGCCTTGACAGAATGATCAATGAGCTTGACCAATGATTTACTGGTTTGGGAGCTGATCTCGTGAAAGGTATCCAGGCTTGTCACCCAGCCTCTGCTACTTTCCCATCTGAAGAGTTTTTAACAAAAGTTGCTATACACTACAAAATCCAGCTGAAATCAGAGGAAATATTGGTTGCTAAGAATTTTCTAGCCAGGAAGAAAGAGACAGGTGCCACTACTGACATGCCCAGTGTATACAGGTTGCTTGAATCTGATGTTTCCAAATCTAGAAGCCATCTTTCAAGTGGCAATGACCATTTCTGTCTGCAGCTGTGAGCGATCCTTCAGTGCCTTGAGACGTCTACACACATGGTTAAGGAGAACTATGGGACGGGACACTCGATCACCTGGCAGTTCTGTTCACTGAAAAGAATACGCTGGATGGCATTGAACATAATGAAGTCATTAACAGATTTGCCAGACTCAAATCAAGAAGATATAGTCTGATCCCCCCTCCAAAAAAAACTAAAGATGTGCCTGGTGTGGTTAACAGTGATTAAGTTAGTGAAGGGTTAGAACATGTCAATTTTACTTTTGCAACATTTAATGCATGAACCAATGGTCGAAGAAATGGCTGCTGAGATTCAATGTCACGAAGTGTAAGAGGATGCACCTGGGGCGTACCAAAAGTAAGGAGGCGTATCATATGTCCCAACGGGATGAAGAAACTGCTCTAGTTGAGACTGTGAGAAGGACCTAGGTGTGTATGTTGACAATGAGCTGAAGTTCTCGGGCCATTGTGAGAAGAAGGTAAATCGGGCAAAAAATTATTGGGGTCTTATAAGAAGGTCGTTCAGATATCTAGACGGTCCGTCCCTCGTAACGATCTTCAGGAGTGAAGTGCTTCCCCATCTGGTCCCCGAGATATGCTAGGGACTGTCAGTTGGTTGAAAATGTTCAAAGGAGGGCCACCAGACTCTCCTCCTCTTCTTGCTCTCTTGAAGTGTCCATTCATTCGTGTTTGGGTCTTGTTGTTCGTCTTCCTCTTGTCTTAAGTCCTCATAGGTGTGGAAGAAGTCGGAGACGGTGAGGTTGACCATGTGGGCTTCAGCTCCACGGGCCTCTTGGTGTTCTTGATTCTGTGTGGTGGGTGTCTTTTCTTGTGTTTTCCTTTCTTGGTTTTTCTTTTCTGCTGGTTTTTTCTTGGCTTAGAAACGTACAGCAAGGAGGGCTTCTTTGTAGCTCAGTGTCTTGTCGAGTCGCGCCTTGGCTATCCTGCATTCCTCCTTCCATTTCGGGCAGGCCCGATCGGCGGAGGAGTGTGGGCCACCACAGGCAGCGCATTTTTTTACTGTGTTGGGGCAGACCATGTAGCGGTGTCCGGGGCTGCCGCACAGGGAGCAGGTGTTCTCCTGCACCTCACACTTGTTGACAGTGTGTCCGTAGTGCTGGCATTTGTAACAGCGTTCCGGTCTGCAGTAGGGCTTGACTGGCACAGTTACCCACGCCAGTTAAGCCTCCTTGGGTAAGGTTGTATGGTGTCCGATGAGGGCAGTGGTGTCGGACAGCTTCTTCACAACTTGGAGTTGCCCCTTGAGGAGCTCGCTCAGCTCTGCTTGGTCCACGTGGGCAATTTCGGCGTGGGAGATTACTCCCAGCTTCAGGTTGTCCCATTTGTAGGCAATCATTTTAAATGGAATGCCATTGATGTCTGGGATCTCCGCGAGCTGTACGGGCATACCCTTCTCGGCGAAGGTGATCTTGATGTCACCATGGAGCTTCAGTCGTTCCACCTTGGTGACCCCCACGATCTCATTAGTTTCAAAGATTTTCTTGAGGACTAGGAGGTTTAATTTCTTGGGGCAGGTTGGCGTATCCGCGCCACGTTATCAAACTCGTAACCGTTCATGGTGAGAGGGTTAGAGAGTGCTGCGTACAGCCAGCTACGCCGAGAGACTAGGTCTATGCAGTGGACGTAGGGGTACGATCGCCGACCTAGTCTCGATCTTCAACCTCCAGCTTAGGATCAGAGCGTTTCACACGCTTAAGCCGCTGCGATTGGCCCTCTCGCTACGCTCGCCCCAAATCCTGATCCTCGTAAATTGTATAAATACGGCCATGCCTGGCCAGGGAGACGATATTCTACACTCGGCTACCGGTCCAGCAACATCTCTCACAGCTCCTCACCACCCAGCTTTCTCAGAAACAACCTCGCCCTACAGGACCTCTGAGCAAGCTTCTCCTCACCTAGTCACTCCTAAGCACTGCACTGTACAACAATATATATACAGAAAGCGCATTGTGAGTTTCCTTCCTCCATCCCATCCTGAGTGTAAACACAAACATTACTATACCCCACAGGGTAACCTTTTCTGAGTGAGTTGTGAACTCTTGGAACAATCTGCCAGTGTGTTTTGACGGCACCGAGTGTTAACTCTTGGAACAATCTGCCAGTGTGTGTTGTGACGGCACAGAGTGTGAGCTCTTTCAAGACCAGACTTGATAAGCACTGGAGCAGGTTCAGATAAATTCAGGAGACAGTACTTATCAATAGTGCGTAACAGACGTGACCGATCGGCTAACGAGCCGATCAGTGGTGAAGAGGATAAAAGAAAAAAACAATAAAAGTGTATAAATAGGGTTACCATACGTCCGGATTTTCCCGGACATGTCCTTAAAATTCCGCCCGGGGGGAATTTTCAAATGTCTAAAAATGTCCGGGATTTCGTCTTTATCATCTTCCTAAAGAATAATTAATATTTTATAAGAGTAAATGACATCAGACACGGGATTTCGATTATGAGACTTGTCTAGTTCGTTACGCCATTAGTCCAGTGTACGTCTTTGACGGATGTGATGTGTTTAGCGATACCATTTTAGCGGTTTTGTGGCTAATGTAGCGATGTTCACTTACATAGCAAATACTAGCCCATAAACGTCATATATTTATCAAGTTTGACTAATATTCCAATATAACTAGGATGGTTTTCTGGAGGATGTAGATCATATCGACATTCTAGCAATTTTTCTTTTCAAATCTAGCAACATTAGATTGTTAATTCTGGTATGAAATTACGCGCCAAATGTTCAATGACTGAAGTGTCTTTTCAGACGGTGCTGAGTACAGAGGCATTTTTCCAAAGCTGTTAATTTTATTTCTCACTTCTTAATCCTCAAGCACAATGCCAAAACGAAATTGCAAATTCACGGCAGAACTGCTTGTACAGTACAACTTCAAAGAAATTTCCTGCAAAGACTTCCATGCCTTCTTAATAGGCAATCAAACACTGCTGAGAATAATGCGATCTACAGAAAAATATGCATGGGCGCATCAAGGAGAAGAAATTTATTGCTCAATCTCTACTAAACATAAGGTAAGCTACAGGAAATTTTGAGTGATTACTATATATTAATGTTTTCAGCCACAAAATTTCTAAAATGTCGATAGGCCTACTCGATATATATGTACTGGTGTACAATGCACGAGTATAACAATGATTCAACGTGGGATATTTTGCCCCTCCCTCTCCCGCCAAAAAGATTAGAAATACTTCAGGTTGTCCTTTTTCGATGTTCAAATATGGTAACCCTAGTGCACATTTCAATATGATCTATTTTTGGCGCTAAAGCGTGCATGGAATCCTAGCATGAACTCGAAATGGTGGTTTCAATCCAGTTGACCCAGAGGAGAGGACTGATGATGGTAATGATAACCATCAGGGCCAGCCCCAACTATGTACAGTCTGTTCGGCTGCACAGAGCCTCCTCCTGAATAATATATATATATATATATATATATATATATATTATATATATTTATATATATATATATATATATATATATATATATATATATTATATATATATATATATATATATATATATATATATATATATATATATTTTATATATATATATATATATATATATATATTTTATATATATATATATATATATATATATATATATATATATTATACATATATTTATATATAGTATATATATATGCTATGTGCATATATGTATATATATATATATATATATACATATGGTTATTGTTTGTTGTTTAACACACCACACTGTCACACACACACACACATAATATATTAACATACATATATTTATATATATATACATTATATATGTTGGTTGGTTTATTGTTGTTATAATTATTAAGGTTATTATTATGTTACATATAATAATATTATTATGTTGTTAAATTACGACAATAATATTGTTGTTGGTTGAATGATGTTGTTTGTTGCTGAGTTGTTATAATTTGTCATGCATATGGTTAAGCATATATAAGGCATATATATAAGCAACATATAATATATACATACACAGCAACATACAGCACATATACATATATAATATATACATAAGGGCACATATATATACACATATAATATACAAGCAATGCTGGCATGAAGGGTTGCTGTTGCTGGTTGGTTATATAATACATGGCAACATACATATATACAATATATATATATATATATATATATATATATATATATATATATATATATATATATATATATATATATATATATATATATATATATATATATATATATATATATATATATATATGTTTTATATCCAAGATAGAATTATGTAAAGCATTTTAGAATCACAGCCTCTTTGAAATTCATTTTAGGCCAAGTATATACAGCGAACAACTGACATCTAATGGGAAGACTAAGCCCCCGAAGGAAATGTGGGGGAGAAGAGAGGACTCGATGGGGTAGAGGGTAGGCTTGTGGGGTATGGGTTGTTTGGGTTCGAGACTCAAAAATCATGATGTGCTCTCTGTATACATGTTGTATTGGATGTACAATGCAGCTTGGTGCTGGGAAGTGGCAGCGTGGTTACAAGCGTGATGTAGAGAGCTGGTTGGTGAGGATGCTCAGAGGAGGACAGCTTGTGGGTCGCCATGCTCTCCGGCGGGAGCGAGGACCACCAGGCAGGCGGAGGAGGAGGAGGTGTAGCTTGCTGCAGCTGTAGCTAGAAGAGAGCTGGTTGGTGAGGATGCTCAGAGGAGGACCAGCTTATGGGTCGCCATGCTCTCCGGCGGGAGCGAGGACCGCCAGGCAGGCGGAGGAGGAGGTGGTGTAGCTTGCTGCGGCTGTAGCTAGAAGAAGAGAGGGCACACGAGGTCAGGTCTTAAATAGCGGGGGTAGGCGTGGCTTAGTAGTTGACCCCCGCTCCTTGGGCGGCACTGGTTGACCTAGACCATGAGGCATACACGGGAATTCGCGGGGTCGGCTACTCAGCGACAAACAGCGTTTGTAGGGGAGAAATCCACTACAGGCTAGTCGAGGTGCTAATGGACGCAAGAAGATCAAAGGGAAAGTCCGCTGTTATGGCCATTGCCACTTGACCTGACCTCACCAGTTCTAGGTACGTGGCTGCGGTTTCACTTCGCGTTCCTAGTTTATTGTTGAGGTTTTGAGGGAGAGACAATGCTCCAGGTTTATTGTTAATCGTAGCCTGCCCTCTAGCGGTCAGTAAACAAAACATACACTTTGGCATAGTTTCTTTCAAAAATTAACTCTATACATCTTTCAACATTCACTTTCTAATAATGTAGCGCATTACAATGGCATATTGTTACATCCTCCTTTTTTTTTAAATTAGATAAAATGAAACAGTGTCATTTCTCTGCAACTAGCTTATCACAATTAATACTGTACATTCATAGGAACTAAAACACTTACAATCCTTGTAGTATAAACATCACAGCTTCCATATTGTAACAGGTTCCACCCATACAACTCTTTTACTATGGTTACTACTTAATTAACTAAAAATATATAATAGTTTACCAGAGATAAACTCTGTTTGGGGCATGTGACGAGCAACAATATTTGTTTTTTCAATTGTATTGGAGTAAAAATATTGGAAAATCATACTTGATAACAAAGGTATAAAAAAATAAGTTTTTAAAATGTAAATACTGTGACCAAAAATGTTACCCGAGTAAATTTATTTAGTTACTTTACAACTCTGGCCACAAAATTTGGACAATTCAAATCTGTTGAGCTATGCTTCCTCTCAGATGCAAGCCAAGATGATTATGGCCATATAGTACATTGTTCTCTTGCCATGGCCAAATCAAGAGCAATTGTTTAAGCCAATAAAATTTCTTTGACTAGAGTTCATAGACACAGTAGCAGTCAAAATCTCTGCCAGTTATAGAAAGCTCATTTATCAAGATGTGAAGAGCTTCTTTTGGACATAGTCAAGTGGTGCTTGGTTACATCTGCAATAATCCAAGGAAATTCTAACAGTCAAACCCAACTGATGTGCTTCACATAAGTTACTTGGTTACAACCTAGCTTCTAAGTCTAAATTGTGGAATGGACCAATTTTCCCGTTTAAGCCCTTTTATGCTGATTTACTTCCATAGGTGGTTCTAGGAGTGCCACTCAAATTCCAAGCATTTACAGTACCTCCCTTATTGAACAATGGGAGTACTTCTCAGACTGGCACCAAGCAATAATGGCAATGGCTGCTTTCCTACACCTGTGCCAAAAATTCAAAGGTCGAATGAGCTTAGTTAAAGACAAATCGAGACAAGGCATCAAAATACTACCCCATAACTAAAGAATAACTCCAAAGTGCTTTCTTTGAATGTGAGAATGAAAGCCTTGGACTGACAATGCCAAGAAACGTAACATTGTTATCAAAAGATCTGGTCTTCCTTCGTCGAGATCCATTTCTGATCAAAGTAGGCATCTTAAGGAGTAGGTGGATGAATCAAGCAGACAAGGTTTCCCAAATTTAGTCTAGCATCTTGCAATTTTGTCTAGTAAAGTCACATAACAGAACTTGTGGTTTGTTATTAACATAATATTGCCCAGCTCCAGTGGCATGGCATCACAGAGAATGAGATGCAAGCATCTGGATCATTGAGGAATTGTTTGTCATTGGTGCACGTGTTTTTGCTCAAAGAACGAAAACAACGCGTTGTGGAGGTTTTCAAAAGAACCAGAAAACAAAATTGTCGTCTTTGATTTTACCCAATAGATACAACCTAACCCAATTTAACCTAACAACATAACCCAACCTCACCTTGCCTAACCTGTAGCAAGATTTTGCTTTCTGGTTATTTTTTGTTGTGGTTAGTTTTCGGTCCGAGCCCAGCATATACATATCCAGATGCATTCAGTGCAGAAAATTGTGAGGAGCTACAGAAGTCCAGAAGATGCAATCAATTGCTTTTGGCATTGTTATTTAAATGACAGAAGTCATTACCTTAAGAGGTATGGCATGGTATTCACCTGCATGGCCTCAAATGCAATCCATTCTAGACTTTTCACTGGAAACATTCGTTCTCAAAAGCCTAATGTCGTTTTGTGGGTAGACATGGACCGGTGCAACAGCCAAGATTAAATTAAGGTACAATATTTGTAGATGCTCAAAATGACACCATTAGAGATACTTAAAACATTATGGTAGAGACGCAAGTTAGTCAATAGTCGTCCCTTAAAAACAATAGAAAAGTTTGCCGACTGTAAAATCCAAGGTTGTCTTGCCTTCACACTTTTTCAAACACTGATCAATATTTGAGGAAACATTGGTATAGCATTCAGTACTTTGTCAATGAATTTGGAACAGATGGAAAGGGGGAATACTGTATATATCCAGTCCACCCAGCTGCAACAGAAATGGACAAGACTAAAGAACCTTCAGGTGGATGATAATTTTTTTAAGGGCTCAAACCTACCTATAAAGGAAGGGAAACTGCCACGTCTAGTCTAGGCTGTGCCAAATGACGAATATTCATGTAATGGCTGACCCATTACTTGATTGTGAGGGGTTAGCTTACCAAGCCAGTTACTTTTTTTGATAGACCAATACATAATCTTGTACTGTTAATGGAGGGCAGTAAAGTATTAGACCTGGGTATCCCTGAGGAGTTATCAGATAAGGCTACTATTGATAGTACATTATGTAGTACACTAATTCGCCAAAATAACACTTGTCTGGTACTTCTACTGTGTGATGCTCATTGTATGGGACATTTAGTGTCTCTTATAGAAAGACACCACACTTCATGGGTTGATGGAACTGTGCAAGTGCCACAGGGCTCGACAAGGAGTGATGGTAGCAAAATAGGTTAGAACATGGCCACCGTATTCAGCTACTACAATATTTGCATGGATTTTTTTCCACTGTTGATATACTGTACTTTAATTTATTGAAATATAAAAGTAACAACTAAGAATTTGAAATTTCCACAAAAGTAACACCGTTACAAATATCAATGCATATTTTGAGTAACAGTTACTGCAATAATTAGGTAATTAAAAAGTAATGTCGATACTCCCAACACTGCTGAAAACCACCATCACTGATTACATATCTATACGAGTAGATTTTACAACTACTGTACTAGTTTCATCAACTCTGGTTATAGATATAGGGAACTCATTAAAATAACAATATCAAGTTGGAAATTTAATATATAAAGATTACAAAACTTGTCAGTGTTATCTTACCTTTACAGCCTTAATACTTAAGTCTGATTAGCAGATAAAAATTTCCCAAATTCATGGGACAATTTATTCAAAGCATATCTATACAGTACCTCAATTAAGTTTTTTTTAAATAATGTTGAAATTTTTGTTTAATTTTCACGTTTTAATACAGTAGAATGACTAAAATATGTATAGGAAAATATTTTGAGCAAAGAAAAAAGATAGTGTTTGTTTGAAGCAGATGAACAGCCACAAATGCACAATACTCAGTTGAACCAAACACTGTTGAAACCTGTATCATTCACTTATTACTTCTAGCAATATTCAAATAAGTTATTTAAATTTTACTGTAAAGTTAAGATACAATATTATTCCTAAAACATTTTAAGAAGAAAAATTTAAGAAAATCATTGTATCCTTTTTCTTCATAAAGATGCCAACAAGCAAGTTGCCATCTTTGGAGTGCAGATACAGAAGTTCAAAAGATAAACTTATTCTTGACGTTTGTAGACACGCTTGCACACAATGTCTTCAACCTTACATTCCTGAAAGTTTAAAAAAATAAAATACTAGTACATTAAAAAAAATCTAATTTAATCAATTTCTTTTATCCCTTCATTTTCTTCAGGAAACACCCAAAAATTTACAGGAATAAAGTGGTCTCTGACCATTTCCATTTTTCAAAATGAATCCTATTCAATCTTGCATGGTTTAAAAGCATCTGATTATAACTTCTCCCAAGTTTTTATGTAAAAATTTACTTACCATAATCATTTCTTTGTCTGTGAACTCACGGGTGAGAATAGAGTCCTTTTCATTCTTTTCTTTATCTCCTTTCTGCTCATGAATCATCTTGTTACCCTCAAGTTTGATGGATGACTGTTGAAAGAAATTAAATGAATATTCACTTCTGTAACACCAATTTTAATATTATAAATATGGAAGATGAGTCCAGTAATCCCTCTTCCTGGAAAAGACATACCGTAAGAGCAGGTATCTCTTGTAATATACTGGAGTGCAATTTACTAGAGGTTTATTGTCATTAGGTTTCCCCTGTATGTCAGGATTTATGTTAATAATCCACATAGGATAAACCAAACACCTTTACCTCCCAACCCAGTAGTTTCATCAAGATAAGGGTGCACTCTGAGGGTTAAGTGGGCTGATTTGATCCAAGTTTTCTCATCAGTACCAGACACACAAAGGCATACTGTTCGCAGTGATTTCATGTCAATCCACCGTCTCGAAGTTTTATTCCAGCCAAGTCACCAACCCAAGGGAGGATGGAGGTTATCCAAGCAGCCTAACTATTTGTTTGACAAAAAATTGGGATTTCATGATAAATCTTCCAATTATAAGTTACTACCCTTAAATGAGGCAAATCTCTTAAAACTGATGTAGCTAAAGAGGGAGGTAGTGGTACAAAAGACATGTACACCCAGTGAGTTAATCTGTCATGTTATTTTATTTACTTAAGAATCCAGAGCACTAATTTGTACATAATGCACAAGTACATTTTAATTTTCCACGAAACTAAAGATGATTCCATAAATAAACTTCCTGGTGACTGCCAAAATTTAAATTAAACTGCATCTGACAAAGACAAATGGAGATGAAAGCTTATAAAAACCAAAACTAGATTTAAACTGAATACAAGGCAGAGCCTTCAAAAACACAATTGGGAAGTAAACGTGATCTCGCTTAATGGTCCATTAGGGTCAACATACAGTAGATGCATCCCCCCCTCCCCTTTTTATGGAAAAAATTTGTTTCACACTGAACTTAATAGTATTGAGGTGGAAAGCAATATTATGAGATCTTAACAAATGAATTACTCCATGCAAAAGCAGGTTTTCATAAGAATGTTGCAAGAAAAAATCACATGGTTAAGATGTTAATATACTGACATTTTGAAAGAATATAGTAATATAAAAATGAGAGATTATTGCTCAAGCACATTCATGAATAACTCGAGTTAAAATTGAGCGTCAATATGAAAAAGCATACACTGCCGTGTCTACATTGAATTTGTAAATTATTTTACATATTCGCTGCCTTGTCATTTATACTCGGGTATAATTTTCCTTGCATCAATGAATAAAATATAAAACATTAAATTACCGTTTAACAGTCATTTGTTATTTATGAAACGATTAAAATTCGGCAAAATTACTAACTTCCATGAATGCTTCTTCAATAAATTATTTTAAGAGCAACAAACGCTTTAATATGGTTCTAAAAATAAAACCACTTGACAGGGAAATGAGCTATATGCCGACTACAGTATTCTACACCTACAAGTAAGTGTTACTGTAGCATAGCGGGCATTCTGTTTGTTTTTATCCTGCGTGCATCGCCACCACCTTTTTTAAGCATGGAATTGTTTCTTTTACTACCAACCTGGAAGCCTTTTGTATGCAAACATACGAGGGAATGCCAGAAAAGTGTTAGGCAGTAAGAAATTTGACCCACTAAGTTTGTTGATATACTACAGGTATACAACTAAATCCAACCCACTGGTGAGTGGTCAGTCATTTGCTCTTGTTTCCGCCAAGTTGCCAGATAACCCTGTTCGAACGAATCATACTGAAAACGGTGACATCACACCCTGGGCCGATTGTACTGTACATCCAGTGCATGTACTGCACTACGATTATATATGCAAAAAAAGAAAAAAGGTAATTATCTTAATATTTCATTGTACAGTACATAAAGCACAATAGACCCTTGCCATTTGCGAGGTTTGATTCGCGATTTCGACGAACGCGGTAAGCAAATGGTGGCTAGCTTGCTTATACAAGCCTTTTTCCCGCAGAACAACGAGTCACCCCTCGCAGCATCTTGTGTTGTACTCGAAAAACAAAGTTTGAGTGAAATGGCCCCTAAAAGACAGCCTAGCATCAGTGCTAGTGGAGTGAAATGTAAATGGCAGAAGTCAGTGGTGACCGTGACAAAGAAAGTTTTATTATTAAGATAAGTTAAAAAAGGGGAGGAGTGCTGCCACAGCTGGTCAGTTGTTTGGTATAGGTATACAGTAGTGCCCTAAGGTAGTATAACTTGATATTCGCGTTTTGCCAATTCGCGCCATTCCTTGGAACCTAACCCCCGTGAATGGCATGGGTCTACTGTACAGATATTGAAGTAGAAAACACCAAGTTTGTATTTTTAAATCACAGCCCCCAACACTCACCTTTACATTACGTCCATCAGCAGTGGTCTCCTCAAACTCCTCACCAAGTTTGAACTTAATTTCAGTTGTCTTGAAGGTGGTGACAGTCTTAAGGGTGTAGACACCATCTTCCAAGGTGATCTCCACTGTCGGTGTGGCAGCATTACCCATCTTCCGCATCACCAGACCCACACCTGTTTAGCATAAATGATAATGAATATGTAATTTCTTAAGAGTAAATTTTCAGTTAATTACTAAATAAATTTTATGGACATCACAACCAGAGTACATTCCCAGGTCCCAAAGAGGGAGTGTGACCTTAAGGGGTTTCTACATATAATATTTTTCACTTCACAATGTATTTATCAAAATTATGGTAAATGCAGTTCTCTTACTGTAAATCAGCAAGTTAAATTAAAGTCAGACTATATGCCTGTCGCGGATATAACCACGTGGTCTGAACAAAATTTATGCTTGCCTGGACTGATGCATGTGCAAATACTGTACTGAAATTTGTGTGTGTTCCCCACCAATTTCTTTGACACCATGCAATACAAAAAGGGGTGAAAAAGAGGAGCGTCATGGAGGCAGCAGTTCCCACGGCCTCACAACCACCCACCAACAAGGCGACAAAGAGGATGCTAAGCGGCGCTGCCACCCTAACAAGATGATAGTGGAGGAAAGCAGTTCCCATTCACAGATGATTATAGGGATGGCTGTACTTGGAAGCTGCCCTATTTCTACCCTAACTACTATACCCACCCCTTTCCTCCACAAATTCAACTACAGTACAGTACTTGAGTTTAACATACGAGAGGAAATTACGCCAGCAAAATCCATTGAAAACTGAATGGAAATGTAACACCCAAGAGAGGGGGAAGAGATAACCTGAGCAGCCTAGTTTCAAAGTACTTGCAGTTTGTAATCATAATCCTAAAAATATAATAGTAAGATATCTACACAAGTTCTTGACTAGCTATGAAAGTATTTTCAAATTACAGCATGCAAAAGTATGTTATTTTAAATACAGTATAAAGGAAATACGCCAACCTTACCATTCACCAGGGCTAAATACCTGGTCATAGTACATGTACAATCATGCACGAATTTTGACATTTCAATTATTTATATTAAAATTATTGTACAGTATATACCATTTTTTATCATGTGCTGAACTACTATACGACTAAATAAACTATAATTTCTAAAAACATGCAGTACCATATATCCCCACCAGTCTGTTAATGAACATACTGTACGGTCTCTTCATATCTCAAAGCCATTTAACTAGTATACCACATATGATTTACTGTCAAGTGATGAAAAAAAGTTACTGTGTAATACGAGGGACACTAATAAGAAAATGTTTCGCTCCTATTAATTGTTGATTCTATATCAAACGCACCAAAAACTTAAAATTGCAACATTTTATCCTCATGTTTGTACAAAAAAGTTTATACCTTTACTTTCATCCTCTTTGCCACTGATCGGCTCGTTAGCAGCTCGAGCAGTCGGTCACGTCTGTTACGCACTGTTGGCAAGTATTGATTCCTGAATGTATCTGAACCTGCTCCAGTGTTGGTCAAGTCTGGTCTTGAAACAGCCTGCACTCTGTGCCGTCACAACATTCTCTGGCAGGTTGTTCCAAGAGTTCACAACTCTCACTCCAAAAAAGTTTGCCCTCAGTTTTTTGGAATAGAGGGTTCTTCACCTTGAGCTGTGACCAATTGTGGGGCTAGCATCCACCAGCTCCAGGTATGAACACTTAACCAAGTTTGAGATGTTTATAAACCTCAATTAGGTCATCCCTTGCCCGTCTGTACTATAAGCTAGGCAGTTGCAGGCACTCTAATCTTTCTGGATAGCTTAGGTGCCGAAGTGGAAACACCAGTTTGGTGGCCCTCCTTTGGACATTTTCAATCAACTGACAGTCCCTAGCATATCTCGGGGACCAGGCAGGGTGACACTACTCCAGGCGGGGAAGCACCTCACTCTTTAAGATCGTTACAAGGGACGGACCATCTGGATACCTGAACGACCTTCTTTCGTGCGTTTTTTCCCAGCCGAGGAGAGATGCCGCACCCACTTCTCAAGAGTTACAGCTGATTGGCTGTTGCAAACCTGTCTGATTTCGTCCTGAAGTATTGATGTACAGTATTTCTAAATGAGTTTGTTCATAGTCGTTTGGATGACCATTTCTGATGAGAAAGATATTTAGCTAAATTATATAAAGATCCATACATTTATTATTTCAAGCATGAGTAAGTAGGAAGTTTATCATTAGTATTAAACATGAATTAACTGTTAAACTCTGGTAGCAAATTCACGCTTTTGGGGGACGCATTTAATATATACTGTACCTATTTTTACCCACAATAAGGCATACCAAGACAAATTACATATCAGTAACACTACAATGTGCAAAAACTTAATATTTTAGAAGATCAGAATCACATTGAAATACTACACGGCCTTCATTTTATTTCCTTGGTAAAACCCCCAAACTGTGTACCGACACCAGTAATGACATGTATCCGTTGTGTAAAGCTCGGCTATAAGTACAAGGATGGCCTCTTAAATATTCATTTTATAGTACAGTACTGTATTATATCAGGAAAAAACTGCAGTACAGTACATCAAGTCATTTGCTTCTGGATCTGACTATGCCCCAACACTTAATTTCCAGGTTCATAATATATCCTACCTAAGCCTTTTGATGTTCTGTGTTCAATATATTATGTCTCCATGGCACACAGCCTGTCACACAACCCATCCAATTACGGTACACGAACAACTAAGCATAACTTAATTCTTCCAGAGATTTTAGGCCAAACACATAACTTAGGGAGTTCAGACCACCCAATCAACCCAACACATGCAGCCTATCCCAAATCAGAAAGTCAATTCCATGTACTGTACAAACTAGTGAGACTACCCATAGTCCCAGCATAGTCCAAAAACCAACCAAACAATACACACATGCTGCTCCAGCCTAATCAGACATACCATGAACATCAAATAAATAACCTGCAGTCCCATCAGACAGACCACCCTTGTCTACTACCTGCCTCTTTCACAGGATCAATAAACCAAATTTTCTCCAGGTTACACAGCCAGTGTCACAAATGCTTCGGCATCCTGGCTACCAATGCTTGCGAGACAATGCCAACACAAGTATGCTGGGTGCAATTCAATGGATGTAGGTTTGTCATTTATAATATAATAGGTGGTCATACATTGCATTATAGGTAGATAAGCAATAGGTGCTTTTTTTTCTACGTAACAGAACCTATAGGTAGTGAACAAATTACAATGCTGTACTGTATAGTTCCGTACTTAAAAATAAATAACACATTCAGTAGAGTACAGTACTGTTTAGTACTATATAAAAATAAGAGGGGTAGATAGCACTTTTCATTTAAGGTTTAGCACCTTTGAAATGCTGCCTATCATATTAAAGTATAGACTGTTTTGCTTTAAAAAACCTTCATATGGTAACATATGGCCACTAATAAATTTATACTGTATGCACCACAATTCTCCCAAACTCCAACACCGGAAGCACAATAAGCCAATTACAGTAATTATACAGTATAACCTACCTGCTTACAGCTAACATTTAACACTAATACAGTTGGTTCGGACATTTCCTGTAGTTTCAATATAACCCCCCTCACAAGACCTGTTACCATTACTAAATTTGTAACAGTATTTCTAAATGGGCAAAAGATGCTTTATAAGAAATTTAGTTTTTTGTAGTTGGAACACGAAGGATTTAAACTAATGTTTAACAGCTTACAGTTCAATATCATGGGACAAAAATATGATGCAGTCGAGCGATGACCAGGTTCTATGATCTACTGGGATCTATGTAACAATTTTTTATGTTTCGAGGTTAGAAGCCACCAAAAGCTACACCAACCAATATTTTATGTTTGCAATAAATAATAAGCCGAGGGATTGAACTTTACATATTTGAAGCTTGACCAGCACCTGACTGGCAGGCAAGTGCAATAATCACTAGATATCACCTGCAGTTAAGCTGGATAGTCTAAATCACCCTTAACCACTACAACAAAAACGGTCAAGTGTGCATGACTGGCAGTGCTGGGGGTAGTGCCAAAGCCCTAGGCGAGATGCTCTCACTAACCCTGACTAGCCAACAAAAGCTGCAGATGGTACTTACTCTGGAGACCGAGTGAGTTGGCACAGCTGTAATAGTGCCTGAAGAATCACACTGGCTAAGGCAACACAGATGACACTCAAACGTTTACAAGAGGTGGTCATAGGTTTATTAACTTCCTAATTCTAATGACTAAGGTTATTTGAATTCAATACAGGAACAAGGTACCTCTGTTCACCAAGTTTATTTTCAAACACTATACTGTAGAATCTACATAAATGTAGACAAATATACTTCTGAAAAATTATTTTGGGGGGGGAAGATAATTTATGTCCTTTTGAAGGGTAGAGGGAAATACTGTCAATCTATCCTGTATTCTTATAAACACTACCTCCACATTGCAATTATTAACACTTCCTATACTGTATTGTGTATACTGTACAGTACCACATGCCATCCATGGCTACCAGGCAGTGTGGACAAGTCTAGTACAACATGGACCCAGCCCCTGTCTGATTTAATCACCCAAGCAGTACACCCCAAACTTGTAATTCACTTTTTCGATTCATGTCTTCTTTTGGACAAAACATTTTCAAATTACTGTATCTACTCACCACCTCAAAAAAACATATGATGCAGCTAAAGTTCAGCCATTTTGAAACCAGTACAATATATAATATTGGTACACTACAATATACAGTACTGTGGATACATATACAGTACAAGATATTTCAATATGATTATTAGTGGTAATCAAAGTCGCACTGGGCCCAGGCTTTCAAAGCCTTGACTCGTCTTATTCGTCTAGTCAGGTGTGACTACCAATATCCTGATTCGTTCTGTCATCCCAACTTATGGGAATAATTTTTAAGTAAGACCTAGCACAGTACCAGAGGGTGGGAGTGACTAAAGTGCATGTGGTGTCCCCAGGCACCAACATCTCCCACGGACTTTGCCTCCTGTCTCATATTCCCAACCCCACTCCAGTCACCACCAGGCTAACCTGTTCTCCCGTGCCACACGGGATCAACCTTCCTCCTCCATCTTAGCTGCAGTGACAAACCACTTCCC